CAGGTGAGCAGTTAGGAGCCAGTGGGCCCGGATTGCGAGAGGGATGTCCGACTGACAGTTTAGGCCCGATCCCTGTGGGACATCCGGTAGTTGGACATCCTCCAAGGGGTTCCAGATTGGAGAGGGTGCAGGCTGGGCTGAGCGACACCCCCCGCCCCCATGCACAAATTTCATGCACTAGGCCACTAGTCTGATCATCGAAAGTTTGTACTCCCTGACCAACATCTCCCCATTTCCTAGCACTCTATGTTTCTATGAGTTCAATGTTTTTAGATTTCACACGTTCAGTATTTGTCTTTCTCTGACTTGTGTCACTTAACATAATGCCCTCAAGGTCACAAATGTCACAAATGGCAGGATTTTCTTCTTTTGTTCCGTCTCTTAATTAGAAGTGGAAACGTTTTTGTTAACACAGCGAGCAATTTGGGTTTTCATTAATTACATCTTCCTATAGTTCAGAAGTGTTTCTTCTGGAGAAAAAAAGAAAATGACTCTGCACAGTGTAACATCAGCTATTTGCAGAAGACAGTGGGCAGGGGACCCAACTTTCATGGCAGAAGTCACGTGCCTTCTTGCTTCCTGTGCGTGATTGGCTGGGGGGAAAGCATTGCTCTGACACATGGGAATTTCCTGGGTCATTCCAACACCAGCCGTGCTCTTTAGGTAATGATCCAAGCACATGCTCCTTGCCTGCCAAGTCTGCGTACACGAGGGTTGTGCAAAGCAATATTCAGATGCTCCAGCAGGAAGCCAGTCCCTAGGCACAGAGACCAGCACTGTCACTTGGTGAGGGGCAGGGAGAGGATGGGAATGGGAGCTCTGAGAGCGAGTGGAAGAGTGAGATAATTTACCCAATTGGTTTTCCTGGAAATGAAGGCTTTATGCCCAGCATTAGTAATAAAACTAACTGAGGCACTCACACCCGGTTCCATAAAACGCTTAATCACCTTGTTGTTCTGTAACAGCTTTTCTCTTAATGGGGAAACTTACCGGCTTTTTAATTTCCTTTATTTGATTAACACGAGAATCCACAGCTACAACCTGTGTTGGGCTCCAGCAAAGTGTTGTATTTGCAAACGTATTAAAAGAGATAGATTTGTTTTAAGGGCCTCATCTGTAACAGTCTCAAGCCTTAAGTAGCCGATCATGCTTTTAAAGGTTTACTTTCTTATGGAGTAAAAAAAAAAAAGGGAATCTATAATTACTTAAGGAGGATGAACACCACAATAAGTAGTCATCATGGCTCCAAGACATTTCTGTGAAGGAAAATACTGTACATTATTACAATCTATATTTTTCTGAGTTCAAATGTCCCCTCCCCCCCCATTTATAACGTTTATTCAAAATAAACACAGTGTTTATCCTTCTTTTAAAAATAGTTTAATGATGATTTTTCCCAAATGACAGTGGTTTGAATCTACTCACAAGAAGCAATCAGCACTCTGGCTGTGTGACAGGTCTTCAGATTCTATCTCAAGTCCTGTGAGCAGAAGCTGGAAGGCCGGTGGTTGAGCCCAGGCAGGCCTGGCAAACACTGGCGAGTGGGTTCAAGGTGATGGGGAAGATGGGGCTCCAGAGGCAGCACCTCCTACTCAGCCCAGCCCCCCTCATCCCCGACTTTCAAGATCTTCAGTCTTAATGCTATCTCCACCGACCTACTTTTGTTCACCTTAAGTCTCTTAAAGGCCTTATTTTCTTTTGCTCTTACCCATGGGGCGTTTCCCACAGCACATCTAGAATCCTGCAGATCTGAGGTGAAGTTTTAACTAGCCTGCATCAGTATAAGGGGAATTAAAACAATGACGCATCCAGTAAGATTTCGGTTAAGCTTGTCTTATTTCGAAATTATTGTGACCTTCCTTCTTTTTCCTTCTTCCTTCCTTTTTGATGCTAAGTTATCCCTGCGTTTAGGAGAGAGTGATGGCGGTTATTTTTGTGTCGTTAATGTCTCTGGTTCAGAAAATAAATGTTGCTCCCCCAGGTTGGTCACTCCGTGTTTGTGTGCCGCGTGCACAGCAGTACCTGTGTGTTCAAGCCCAGTGATCTGTGAGGCCCCGAACACTGCGGAGCCGTGATGTAGTTGGCTGTCTCAGGGGACTGTATCCTGTTCCGGGAGACAACCTGGCGCAGAGAAAAGAAGGCTTTGGAGTCGCACAGACAGGATCTGCTTCTGGTGCCCCTGGGCAGGTACTACACTCTCTGAGCTCCAACTGCCTTTTCCAGGTAACTGGGTGATAACAGCTACCCCAGAGAGCTGTCAGAAGATGAAAGCTTCTAACATAATGCAGGATATACAGTGAGTGCTCAGAGAATGCGTGTTTTCTGGCCTCCTGTGCCCCTTTTTTTCTCCCTTACTTAGGACTTGAAGGTTAGATGAAAAGTGCTCAGCATGCATGTCAGAAGTGAGAAAACGCTAGAGTCTGACACTAGCAGTGTCCACAGGCAGAATGTTAAGTGAGGGAAGCATCGGCAGAGAGCCTGGCATGAAACTGCAGAACTGGGTAGGGTTGGTTCCAGAAGACTCCCTCCAGGACTGAGCTAAGTTTTGAAAGGCATCCATAGCACATGGAGAATGAAGGAGTCTTTGGAAGGGATGGGATACTGAAGAGCGTCTGATCTTAGGTTCTGCAAAGTGTGGCACCTATCCCACTGGGATCTAAGTGATGCATCTGGTACAGAGGCACTAAAAATCATGTAACTACACAAGGAGAGTTATTCCCCGTCCAAGTCTTATCATCCTGAAACACTAAGAAGAAAGTCTCCATTTGTGCCAGACTACCTTTAAGACTTCTTCTATAACACGCAGTATGAACCTATTTTAACAAAGAAAATCGGGCTGCAGGAACATAGCCATCAGAAGGCAAGAATAGCCAGATGATTAAAAATAATATTTCCTTTTCACTGTCTTTATTTTTCCTATTACCTTCTGTTTATATTTTCTTCCATTTACATTGGTGATATCAAGCTTTTCAAGTAGACTTAAATTTTAAAGGGAAGGCAAATTTAAAATATGAAGGTAATAATGAAATAGCTGGTATATAGCGGCCCTATAATGAATGACATTTAGGAAACACTGATCTAGCCCATCCCTTTCTAAAGAAAGCAGATGAGGAAACTGGGGCTCAGAGAAACGAAGGTACTCCTTTCCAAGATTACATGGCTGGCAGACCTGAGACTGAAGCTCAATTCTCTTGTACCCCTCCTCGCCTATCCGACAACAAATTCGGTGTTAAATAGAAGGCAACGGGATACAAATTAAACAACAGACTCTGTGCTGTGGGTTATGAGGAAGGGATTGGTTGATGAGGCTGGTGTGTGTTATTGGTGAGACTTACAGAAGACAAAGATGTGTATAGAAGCTGATACTGCAGGTCTGAGCTCATCATCAAGTCAAAGGCATGTCCTGTGGCCACCAAGCAAAGTCTCCGAGTCAGCCCCAAAGGTGGTGGTGGCAGAGACTCCTCTAGGAATCCAGCAAAGATGGCTGGAATCCCAACGTCATTATTTGGCAAGAAACCAGTGAACATCTCTCAGCTCATCTGTGCTCTTTCCTCATCCATAAAAATTTATAGGAATGACAATAGCTCACATTTATTGGGCACATCATCTGCCAAGCCCCGTTGATGCATTCTCTCTCTTAACCCTCAAAAGACCACTAGAAGGCAGTTACTATCTGCATATGAGAGATGAGGACATTTGGACCCTGAATGATTAAAGCGCTTCCCAGCCTCTTTATCAAGTGATGGAGCAGGATTCAAACCCCAACACTTTCAGTCCAGAGTATGGCCTTAACCACCCTCCTATGCTGTGAATATTAAATGCAGACGAGGCCTGTAAAGCACCTAGCACAGTGCAGGGCACATACAAGGGAGGGGAGGTCAGCCCCTTCCTGCCCGCCCTTTCTGCTTGCACCACAGCGCAGGCCACTTTCAGCCTGGCCTCTAGAACTGTCCCCATAGGGGCCTTGCCTGGGACTACAACCCCCAGAATGCATCAGGCAGAGAAGCTGGCCAATCAGGAAGCCCTCTCCCTTTCAGGGCCGCTCGCCCCACCCCTCCCTGGGGTAGGAACTGCAGTGACCCTGGGCCTGGTGGGTAGTGAGTTGCGACCAGTTGCGGGCAGGCCAGGGTTCCTGGGTTTAGGTCATCCTAATCCGGTTTGGGGCCGGGGGCCGGGGGGTGGAGACTGTTGCAATGTCCAGGCTACGGGGGTCCGTCTTCAGTGCCGGAGCTAGTGGGCATCGCGGCCGGAGCCCCTGGTGGGGGGCTGCGGGGGGCGGGGTGGTTGGCGGGCCAGTCCAGCAGGGCCAGGGTCGTCGCAGGGTCACATGAGGGTGGTTCACGTGGTCCCTGTTGTCCCCACCGGTTTGCTAGGGCTCCGTTTTCAGACCCCCGACCCCCCGGGAGCGGTTGGACGGCCCCCCAAAGCCCGGGGCTCCTCGCGGGTGTGAACTGGGCGGAGGAGGAGGGCGTGGTGGTTAGAAGGCGGTGCGGGCCTGGGTGTGTCTGCCTCCGGCTCCGGAGTCGGTGCCGTCGGTGCCCAAGTGCAGGTGTCTGGGCCTCGGGGCACGCTCCCTCCGCCCCAGCCCGGCCTCCACCTCCCGTGTCCTGGGGAGACTGCCCACCTGCCCTGTCTGAGGAATGGCCTGGCCAGCCTCTGTCCCGTGGAGTGGGGTCTTGCCGCAGCTCTGCCTGCTCACCCCACCCACCCACCCACCCACCCATGGGGCTTAGAGCCCTCGGCAACCAGACCCTGAGCAGGAGGGTCAACTTTCTTGGGCGTTTCACTATCCATCTAGTTTCTACTTACTTCTTGTTCTTTTTGGCTTTTTTTTTTTTTTTAAATTTACTTTCATTCCTCATTTTTAAAGTTATCCTTCGGTTTGCCATACCCAGGATACAGCTGCCATTCCCGCTCAGCGCCCAGGGGCTTGTGGGTGGATGCCAGTGTGTTTTATTCATTGTCCTGAAAACGAACGTGTCACTTCCTTTGCAGTGGGCTCTGCAGTGAGAGTGAGGAATCGGATCAGCCCCTCTGACTCAGGGAGAGGTGGGGCCAAGGAAAGAATTGTTTTCATTATTTTGGACAAACCCCGGAAGGGCCTCTAAGCGCCCCCCTTGCACATTGCTGGAGTGGGGTGTGCTGACTGCTGCTTATTTTTCAAGTCGTTTTGAGAGGTTTGAATGGCTCAGGTTAGTTTGGTTTCCAGTGACCCACCAACGTATTTGTTTCTGACACAATTGTTTAAATATATGTGCTGTATACACTAGTACTAGTATAACAGAGTAACATGTTGATTTACGGATTTCTCTCAACCAAAATTCAGAGGTGGAATTAGGTTGCCCTAATTTCCTTCGCTAAAATAGAAGTGATCATTTTGCTATCCTCTTAGTCAATGAGTTATAATTGAATCTTATTTTGAATTTTACTATCTCTTTAAAAAAAAATTTATGGGAACCCTGTCACTCAAGAATAAGTTAGAAAAGAAAAAAAAGAATAAGTTAGAAAAAGACAGTGACTTCCGTGTAAACAATGATTGCTCAGGTGTCAGGGAGTTTGAGTGCGGAGGCTTGCTGAGAAGGGGGTGTCTGCATCTCCCCTATAAAGGCCCCATCTTGTGGAAGTGGTTTGATTAAAGAAGAAACTTCGTCCTAAGATTTCCAGTTGGAGGTGTTTTGAGTTGAGAAAATCTACAATAATAAAAGGGTAATATGCTAATTAGACTGGACAGCCAAACGATCTTCTGGATGTCATTCTGGACGTCCTTCCAGATGAAGCCGCAGTGGCGGGGGCTGAGGCAGAGGCGGTTAGGGGCGATCAGGCAGGCAGAGGGGTTAGGGGTGATCAGGCAGGCAGGCAGAGGGGTTAAGGGTGATCAGGCAGGCAGGCAGAGGGGTTAAGGGCGATCTGGCAGGCAGGCAAGCGGTTAGTGGTGATCAGGCAGGCAGGTGAGCATTTAGGAGCCAGCAGTCCTGGAATGCAAGAGGGATGTCCCCCTAGGGGTCCCAGATTTCGAGTGGGTGCAGGCCACCAGATGTCTAGTATTAACATAATAAGTTGATACCTTTTTATGTTAGAATTTTATTTATAAAGACTACTACTTCACAATTGTTTGTTCTGAAATAATAGGTTTTCCTTTTAGAAGTATTGAAAATTTAAGTATTTTAATAACACATAAATGTTTCTGATTTTACATTGTTTTTGTTTCTCTTTTAAAATCAGATGTTGAACAGTGATGTTTCTGACCATAGGCTAAATGTGAAAGCCATAATTAAAAATATTAATACAATTTCTTTGGAATTGAAGAAAATGAAAGGTAAGTATGGAATCACTAAACTAAAATGTTTGCATGTCATTGTTGTAAAATAAATAGTAGAGCCATTTTTGCTTCTGCTGAGGTGTTAGCGAATTTTGCCCACTATTTAGGACTTTTCTGTTTCTTAAGAAATGCTTACATTGTAATATGAACTAGATCTCTAAAGATGAATTATGTTTAAGCATTGATCTAGGAGTTAGCCAATTTGAATTCCCATCCTTGACACTAACAAGCTTATGATATTGTCTAACCTCTCTAAATTACTGCCCTTTCTTCCTTTCAACAAACTATTACATGACAATGTCACATTCTACAAAATTCAGTGTCTTTATCCATTAATCCTTACTAAGCCCCTAAGGTTCCTTACCAATTAAAAATTAGAAGTTTGTTTGATGCTGTGAGTTAAGGGCTCTTCATTTTAAACAGACTCACAGAGTTGGATTAGACCTCACGGGGCAGTGTTTGGGCCCTCACCTCACAGACATACTCTGTTTTCCCCCGGCATGTGAACTTCCCATGATTGAACATTTCTAGGGGCAATCTGTCCCTGACCAAACATTCCCTCCAGTCACCCTGTTCCATTTTAGGATAGCTGCTCCTTACGGACTAGCTCAATCTCTTCCCCATTCTTTCACCTGCGGGTCCTACTTCTGACCACGAAAACTGCATTGATTATGTAGTTCTTTTGACAACTCTTGGGTATTTGGAGATAGCCTTTGTGTCAGTTATAGGTCTTCAGCTACATGTCAAAAAATACTGACTTAACATGCTTATAAGTAAGGAAAATAGCCAGAAGATCCAAGGTGGGCCGCCTACAGCTGCTTCCGAGTTTTAAAAACTTCATCAGACACTGGGTTCTTTCTCTGTTTTTTCTCTGTTATATTCACTCTGTTCGTCGGTCCTCGTGGTCAGTACCTGCAGGCTTGGCCAGACACTGCCTCTACCTCTTCTCTTTATGTAAGCCTTTCCCTGACCCCTCCAGCACACTTCCCCTTTCCTGTCATTGACCAGATATGCATCAAAGGCAACTGTCTGCAGCAGCTGCTGCCAAGGGGAAGGGGACTGCCAAGACCAGTGAGGACCAGTCAGAACTTACTGCTGAAGCTGAGGAGGAGAGGACCACCACACCTGGAGGCACAGTGCCACCAAGAAGAGGCAGGTGGCTGTTAGTTAGGACCAGATAGTCAGTGCTGTTAGGCTATTTCTGCCCGTTCCTCCCAGAGCAGCATTTCCCAGACTTCTCTCTGTGAACCCTGCTGTCCTAGAGATGTTAATAGATGGGTGCAGTAACACTGGATTCCACATCCTTCTGGGACTTAAGTTTGGGAAGTGCATATGCTCTGTATTTCTCTCACAAATGTACAGTACACATTAGCAAAGGCACCGAGGAGTCCGATGTAAAGAAATCTGGTTAGCTTTGCTTAATTCATCTCTAAAACCAATCTCAACTTACAGCAAGGATTATCTCCTAACATGTAAATATGCTGAAAACTCCCATTGGTTCACTGCTGTCCTCCTCGAATGGACTAGAAGACCTCTTGAGACCAGGCCCCAGCCCATCCAATCTCTCATCTCATTATCTCTCCCCTGCATGTGCTGCGCTCCTACCATGCTGACCTGTGTGCATCTCTACACAGTTGCTTTTTTTGGTATCTGTGTTTTAACACATGCATCTCCTTCTGAAATGCCCACTGCTGCCCCCCCCCCCCCCACACACACACACACACCTCCACTCCACCAGGTTAACTGCTACTTATTAAACTGTGTTAGTCAAGGCTACTTAGGTTGGAAAACTTCCTTTAAGCCAGCGTGTTACCTCTTCTACCTTTTCATACCATCTATCACGCTGTGTTGTAATTGCATGTTTACTTCCTTTCCCTGTCCCTGCTCAACTGGAAGCTTTTTAAAGGTATTCCTAGCAGTTAACAGTGCCTTGATATAATGGGCTCTTGGAAAATGTTTACTTAATGAATAATTGGTTCTGGGTGCTTGCACTTTTAAAAAACTCCTCCCAAACTAAATTATCTAACTCTTCTAGACAATCCTTTCATGAAGTAAATTAGAAATAATAAATATGCTATACATGTCCTGAAAAGTTGTGGGGTAGGTCAGGCAGTTAGGGTACAAGGGGCTTTTGTAGACGTGTAGGGTGGTAGACTTCTGGTAAACATTGAAGATTAAATGAACACTCTGTTTACCCCACTCTCTCCCAAAATAATAATGTCAATAAATAATCATAACATTTACCATAATCCACATATCCTTCTAAGAGCTTTAAATAAGTGGACTCAGTTGTCATAACAACCCTGTGTGATAGGAAATACTGTAGGTACAGAAACAGACATGGAGACATTAACTAACTTTCCCGGGGACAGATATCTAATCATTGGTAGATCTGAGAATTAAAGTGATGTCAAACAGGCAAAAATTCATAAGACAAAGAGCTCTCAAAAAGTGTTACCTACAAAATAGAAAGCAAATGGAAACAAACAGAGACGTTTAAACCCTAAAGCCCAGAAATCTAAACTATGAACTGGCTGGGTAAAAAGCAAAGAAATAGCCCAAAGACTCAACACACAGTTGTGCCAGAATCCTCTGGAAGTAGCGGGGGAGGTGGAGCTAAGAACAGGAGGACTGGTTAAATGTTTAAGAAGTCATAGCCCCTAAGGTCTCTTTCTCCTCTACGGAACTGGGCAGCTGTTTCTCTGTGACAGAGACACAAGGTTTATTCCATGAGAGGGTAAAACCAGGGATCCCTGGCCTGCAGCCACTGGTCACAAGCCGAGGGGGAGAGTACTGTACTAAAAATGAGGGTATTAGGACCAAATTGACCTCTAGCTTTCTCTTCCCACTTGCCTATAAAACATCAGAAGCCTGATTTATACCCTCAAGCAGATTTTTCTTTCAGGAATATGACCAGCCTAAGAGAAAAGACCTAAAAATACTGATAGCGCAGGTTTCCCCACAAACCACCCAGTCAGACCAGCCCAAAATACCGCCTACCACGGCAAAGAGCTTCTGTTGTCTTTATAGTGCCATGGTCTCAAATATGAGCAAACAGCTGTGGCACGGACATTGGAGGAAAGCATCTACTATGAAAAGCAGAGACAGAACCAATAAATAGGTTCAATCAAGGAGGAAGAAAACCAAATTATGAAGGGAAATGAGAACTCCGAGAAACTATAATATCCACAGAGGAGATGCTATGTCTATGAAAAGGAACATGAAACTACAAAAAATATTTAGAGAACAGAAGGGATCTCTTGGAAATTAAAAATGTGATCATAGAAATAGATCTGTAGAGGGTTAAAGATAAAAATGAAGAAAATACCTTAGAATATAAAGGAAAAAAAAAAGAAGAAAGAAAGTTTTAGGGGGGAAATGACAAACCAGGCAAAATGAAGTCCAATATCCAGTAAATAGGGGTGTTAGAACATAGACAATGGATGAGGAGAAATTCATTAAAGAAATAGTCTGAGGAACTCTTCCAGAGTTGAAGGGTATGAGTTTTTACAATGAAACAGCCCAACACAATGGATGAAAATCAATGCACACCAAAATGCAGCGCTGTGAGGCTTCAGAACCCGGAGAACAAAAGATGCTCGAAGCTTCTGAAGAGAAACGAGAAGCTTGACGGTTCTTAATAGTGACACTGGGAGCTGGAGGAAAATGCAGCAGTGCCCATAGAAATCTGAAGAAACATGATTTCCAACCTAGATTTTTATATTCAGTGACTCCATTAAGCATTGGTGTAGATAGAGAACTTTTCAGACATACAGAAGTTACCAAGGTTGTATTTCACCAAACAAGGAGCCAGACCAAAAAGAGAAAGACATGAGATTCTGGAAAAAGGATGCTCCACATGCGGGATGGGGAAAGAGTCCCTAGGATAATGGCGAAGGGGGCTCCCATTCTGGAGCTCTGGTCCTGGAGGGCATCGGTCCAGGCTAGAGCAGGCAGAAGGCTCTGGAGAGGAGAGACTTTCAACTGTAGAGTAGTTACGTGCTTGACTGTACTGGGAGAGGAGATTTACCCAACTTGGGGGAATTTGAGATATGTTCATGATAATTAAGCAACGAAAAAAGAAATTAACTGTGGCTGGGTGGTAGCTTAAAGGAAGGGAAATGTCATATTACAAGACTCAGCTGTGAAGAATCCTGTATAATAAAAGCATAATATGCAAATCAACTGAACTGCAGAATGATGGGGGGGGGGGGGCGGGCAGGGCCAGCTGGGCAGGCGGCGCCAGGCCAGCCAAATTGTGTGCCAGCCGGCAGAGGGAGGGGACGGCAGTGGGGGGGGGGAGGGGGCAACCAGCAGTGGTGGAGGAGGATGGGGGGGCGGTCCCATGATCAGCCCACCAGGTCGCCTTCTGCAGAGGGAGGCCCATGGCAGCTGCAGCAGTGGGGTGATGGGGGGCAGGGCCGGCCACTCTCTAGCCAGCACCATCCCTCTGCCCACCTGTAGCCTCCCGCAGAGAGCTGTCAGTCAGACATCCCCTGAGGGCTCCTGGACTGCAAGAGGGCGCAGGCTGGGCTGAGGGACCCCCCCCCCCTCCAGTGCATGAATTTTCATGCACTGGGCCTCTAGTACTTATATAATTAAAAACTATAAGCATTAAATACTAAGCTAGCAAAAATTGTACTCAAGTATATTGGGGATGGGCACGAGTAAAAAGTATTATATCTTAATCTTCTGTAATCAGAAGCAGATAGGTAATACTTAAATTTGAAAATATAAAATATGCATGTTTTTTAAAAATATAGAAGTAATTCCAGCCCCCACCTCAAAAAAAAAAAAAAGATAAAAACTCCACAGCCACAAAACAACAAAAGCAATAAAAACAAAATGAGCTCCAAAGTTAGAAGTGGTTGCTTTTGGGAGGTGAAAACTGCTAGTTTTGTAACATGCCTCATAGACTTGTTAGATTGTTTATACTATGTGCATATAGAACACACAAAAGTGACGTTTAAAAAGTGTAAATAAAATTTGCATAAATCAATTTGCAGTTTAGTAAGATAGCTGACAAGTTGGGCTGAAGAACCCTTCTAGTAAATTTTTGTCATGCTTATTTTATAGTACAGAAATTTGACTTGAAGTTACAGTAAGCACACCTAATGTGTAGTTTGATCAATAATCACTTAAAAGAAAACTAAATTAAGAATTAAGCAATAGCTACTGAAAGCAACAATAGTTGTCTAGGGACATATATGCTACAATATGATCCCTTTTGTTACTGTTTTACACAGAGCACTCCCAGTTACTGCTCTGTGACCTTACTCTACATTTTAATCACCCTGTGAAGACAGATGACTCCAAGGAAACAGAAAGCAACAAGCCCCTCTTTGAAGAGTTTAAACTGTCAGATGTATCCCTTACTTCTAACCGTTTTTCTTCCTAATTTTTTACTTATCTGTCGTGAATTTATAACTATGTATTGTTGAATTAACAAGTACCTTGGAGAACTGAGTTTACTAATATATTTAATATAAAAAAATATACTGAGTTATAAATAATCATTTTATGTTCCTGAAGGCTGTTGTATTATTGTTTTAATATTTCAAAGAATGGCTAATTTATTTCACTAATGGCAAGGGTATGACATAGGAAATTGGCCATGTGACACTGCTTATCATTTACATTCTGCTTGAATTTGGCTCAGGCTGAAGGAGAGTCACTAAATTATAAATGGATGGTATGCGTTTATGTTAATAAGATGTCTCCTGGCAACAGGTGCCCAAAACAACTCCAGCTAACTGAAGCATGTATTCGATCACGTGACTTGGAAATCCATGGTGGGAGTAGATGTCAAGGACTCCGCTAATGGACCAGATGGCTCTGTCCTGGTTCTGTTTCTGTGCAGTGGTCTCAGCCTCTCCTGTTATGGACTGGTTTCCTCCACAAGACCAAAGGAGGGTAGAGGCATGGCAGCAGACAACTGCAGGTGTGCAGACCACTCCAGGTGTGCAGATCCCTACAGGAGAGAGACCCTCTAATTCAGCCTCTGTGTTTAGCATCCCAGGGAAGGATGCCAGCTTTGGTTAAGATCCTTATTCCTGAGCAGGGTCCTAAGCAACTGTGATTGGTGAGGCTGGGCCATACGCCAGGTCTGTGGTCAGAGGCGGAGAGGCCCTACCAGAACAATGGAGTTGCTGTTGCCTGAAGAAGGGGAGGAAGAATGCTAGTCATGAAAACATCAGGTACTCACCACTGATTTCAGTCATGGCCATGGATAGCTTGTAGCCTTACCATATCTTTACCCTAAACTTCCTAATTTTTGTCCCTTTCCACCCAAGGAGATGTAAAATAATAGGCTTTGGTTTGCCATATAACATGATTCACTACCAAATAGTTGCTTTGAAATCTACCATGTCCTTCATTTTAGATATTTTTTAATATAAAGGACAGAATACTATGAAGCAAGATACAAAGTCAGCTCACTGCATAATAGAACTTACAATGGTTGCTAGACTCACTACCCAGCACCAAGCTCAGTATTTAACAGAACAGGCACTGAATGAATGCTTGTTGAATATCCTATTGAATAAACATGTAAGTAGTGCAGGTTTTTTCAGCTTTAGAACTCCTAGTTCTGGACCCTAAATTGAGAACTTCGGCTTGTAAGGATGATGTTTTGTGAAACATTTTTATCATCGTGGGTTAAAAGTATCCACACACTCATCATACCAAATTGTCAGTTTTAACCCGGTGACACTCTTGATCCCTTCCATGTTCTATTAGCTCATGAAATGAAGTTGCAAGATATTCTTTGCCACTCAGAAAAAGTGTAGATTAAGCAGAGAAGCAAACAATTTTTCTTAGTAAAAGTTGTGGAAGAATAACCAAGGGCCCAAAAGGGAAAACTTGAAGAATCACTGAATGCCAGGTTTTTGTTTTGCAAATGCCTACTGCTTGTTAAGTGAGATGTTAGCAAAGGAAAGACCTGCATTGCTTTGCAGGATTTATGAAGCTCTTATGAGAAGGATGAGGAAAAGGTCTTTATGACAGTTGTCAGGGGGATAAAAAGAGGTGTAAGAAAGGTTACCTGGCCAGATATTTTTCTGTGTAGGTTCATTGCTTTTTCATCTTCCCAGGAAGACTGGTAAAATCTACCACCAAATCCTTGACATCTACTCCTACCATGGACTTCCAAGTCACATGACCCAATACATGCTTCTTTGTACTTAAATCCAAGTGTATTTGATTTAAAATGGGGTTTTTTTTTTATTTATAGCTTAAGTTTGCTTCAAAACAAAAATATAATAGTACAGACCAAACAGTAAAGTCAATAAAGTTGTTTTAGGAACCCGAAAGTAAAGCAAAAGGCAAATTAATTTTAATTCCAGGAAGTTACTCCAACATGCATTTATCTTTTCATAAAAAAGTATACAAAAATCCCCCCAACAAAAAAACACCAAGAAAGGATGAAATATTTTTGAAGCCTTTTAAATTATTGCTGCTAAGAAAGTTAATTTTAGTAATTTTCAAATTACTATAGTATACATATAAAAACTCATGATTGCCATTGATGGACAAGGTTTGGCTATCAAAAAATCAGTTTTATGTGATAACAAAAGCTATTATTGTTTAAATGTTTTGAAACTTGCCCCAAGTTATTTTTGTAGCTGTGGAAACTACTGTACTTTGAAACGGGTATCAAAAATGCACATTATTTGCACAAATCATTACAGTGCACGACTACAGTGCCAGTGTGCACATTATCACTCATGCACTTCACAAACACTGAAGAAGAATAAATAAATTATGGGACACGTGACAGTCTTCATTTCAAACCTTTGTTAAGCGAAAGGACCAGACCCTCGTGTTCATGCTGAGGGGTTCGATTCAGTCCTAAGTGTTTGTGCAGCCACCCAGGTTGGCTGATCTGCACTGGCAACAGTCAGGGAAGGTTCGCCTGCTCGGCTAACGTGCTACGGGCAACCTGCCGAATGGGTCAACGTGCACTGGTATCTGGAGCCTCGGTTCTTCCCATCGATGAGCAGGAGCGGCATTTTCCGGAAGTAGTCGATAATAGCTGACACAGACTGAAAGTCCTGAAAGATTCAAAACGGAGATAAATCAACCCTGGAGCAGGTAGCATGAATTGCACCCTCCGTTTTTTAATCTGCATAATACCTTACCTCTTGAAGTTAGGAGGATTTTTATTTTTTTAATGTAAAATTTGACAAATGTTTTAATGATTTCTGCTGTCACCAACATCCAATATACTATGGATAAAAGACTATATATATATGTGTGTGTGTGTGTGTGTGTGTGTGTGTGTGTGTGTGTATGACTAATTTTTTAAAAATATATTTTATTGATTTTTTACAGAGAGGAAGGAAGAGGGAGAGTTAGAAACATCGATCAGCTGCCTCCTGCACGCCCCCTACTGGGGATGTGCCCGCAACCAAGGTACATGCCCTTGACCGGAATCAAACCTTCAGTCCGCAGGCCGACGCTCTATCCACTGAGCCAAACCAGCCAGGGCGACTAATTTTTTTTTAACTTCGGACAGGGGGTCATATATAGAGGGGCCTAATTATGATACCTTGGCCTTTGCCTCTCGGTGTTTTTGATTTTGGTTTCTGAATCCCATATCTCGGTCATTAATATGTGAGGAGGTGTAGGAATCAGGAGGCCACTGTCCCTGCTGTCTGGAGGGGACATCTGCAACATGGCATAATAGTTCCTTCACGATCTCTCTGCTGCCTGCCCACTGCCACCCCGCACTCACCAGGGCTCTGTAGCCGAGTCTGCATTCAGTGCCTGGATCACCTCTCCCCGAGGGCCAGACTGGGAAAACCCCATCCACCCTTTTAGGTGGGCCAGAAGTCACCTAGGTATCCCGACAGGACCGTGCACTTCCTCTAAGACCACCCTGCTAAGCAGCTCCCTTGCGGCAGCTGTGATTCAAGCACTTGACCAAAATCATGTGGGGGCTTTTTTCCTGCTCATTTACATGATCGTAACTGAAACACATTTGGAGTGAAATAGAAGTTCTGGTGGGCTGTTTCTCAGTCTGGGAATGTTTGGTCCGGCTGATCCTCCCTCCTGGAACTTTGAACTTAAAGAACACGCTTGGGGCAGTAAATTTAGCTGTTAGTTTCCTTTGCAAAAAGCAGCCCTGAAAGGCTTTCCTCATAACCGGATTACCACCCAAAATGACTGGTATAAACCTCGGCTGAACAGAGGAAGATGTCTTTGGCAATTTGGCCACCTTCATTGGCCACACCTCCAGTTTAGTAGGAAATGAACCAAGTATCTAAATAATCACAACAAACATTCTATTCTTCCATTTGTTGATTTAAAATACAGCCTTATAAACACCCTGCAATCTTACATTGAAATGATGTGGCAAAGATGACTGAGAAGGGACTTGCCTTTGACACCATCCAACTGGAGCTCTTTTGAAAAATGTAAATGTTTACATATATTTTCTGATTTCAAAAGTTGCACATGTGACGTTAGATTATTTGGAATAAAAGGTAAAAGAAAGATTCCTGTGGTAGAGGTGTGGCTACTGTTAATATTTTGTTTTATTGCCTTTCAGTAAATGAAGGGTTTCACGAACATGATTTAACTTAAGCTGCCATACAGAATGGACCTGCAAAGAATGTTACAGTGAAGTTCCGCTCGGTAGGTATGCAGGGAAGCAGAACAAGAGAACTGGGGAACATTTTGCAACTGAGGTCCTTACCTCCTTCCCTCGGAGCCCAGTTCCCAGCATGTAAACGTGGCTTTCCTCCACGTAACGGATCTGGACGTTGTAGACCTTGTCTTTGTATAACACCATGAGGACGTACGGATTGCTTGGTGTTTTCTTCGAGCTGTCTCTAACCAGGAAAGTGCCATCCTAAAAGGAAACATTCGTGTGGGGATGGGAACAGTAAGTCAACAGTGGGCCAGTCTCTAGGGATCTGGAAAACTGTGGGTTACAAGCCAAGCCGGTGAACATTCAGGTCCCAAACTGCTAAAATCCCAGGAATGGTTATGGGGAAGGAGGCAGGAGAGAAAGGTCTAAGTCAACCTCTGCAGCCTGACGAAAGGCGTGCCCTTCTCGGTAATGAAACACACTGGCGGGTGAGTGGGCCCAGGGCCAGGCGACGTAAGGACCTGGTCAGCTAAGGAGACAGCTCCCTACTCCTGGGAGCTAATTCATGTCCTTGCCCTTCTTCCCTCAGCCAAAGTCAGGAAACACCCAAACGCCTTGAAATTCCCGCACTTTTTTAAACCTCCTGACCTCCAGGTGGAGTGTTCGGCCCTGAACAAAACTGAATGTGGGCTGTCTTTGTGCTTATATATTTTTTTCTGATATTTTCTAAAATAGTGTTGTGATTCGTCCTGTACTTTAAATTTTTATTCTATAAATTATTGCTATCTAATATTAATACTGTAAAGATAATGATATTAAATTAGAATTAATTAGTAAGAACTCACTTAAGCTATTTTCTCTTCGTGTATTGAGCCAGGATGGCTTTATAGAGCCATCAATCTGCATTAATGGCTTTCCCCTGTGCTTTTCATTGCAAGTTAATGAGTAAATTTCAGTCAGAACATCTCTGTTGAAAAAATATACCCTTGGACCAGTGATGTAGAGGGTTGGCTTCACTATAGATTCACCTGGAGAGCTTTGAAGACCCCGTGCACCCACAGCGCCCTGATTCAGTCAGAACCTCTCCAGGGGAGACCCAGGAAGCAGGAGTTTAGAAAAGCTCCCCCAGGCGATTTGCAGGTGCAAGTAAGGTTGAGAACCCCTGTTGTGGACTCGAGATGTGAAAGATGCAGGGTCTTCGCTTTCTCCTCTCTGATACGTGCAGATTTAAGGTTAAGGTTCAGCACCGACGACAAGACATCTGGCTAAGACCCGATAACATTAAAGGGCAGCAAGGCATTTCCAGAGGGAAGGGCCTGGCTGCGACCCACTGTCCGCCTGGATGTAATCTCTTCCCATCCGTGCGAATGGCCACTGACATGAAGAGGAGGACTTGGCCAGTAAGACGCTGGAACTTTGGGGGAGAGTCTTCTTTGGACACTGTATGATTCCTATGACAAGTTGGGCCTTTTTGATGATAAAATCTGAGATTCTGCCAGCCCAGTGTGGCCTTAATTTAGATTTTTCCCGGGGTCCTAGGAATCACTGTGGCGGCTGCTGGGAGGTGTGAAGCCAGTACTAATAGGTCTCCCCGGTGTAACAGCGTGGACCTAGCAGAATCCCTAGCCCGTAACTGGTACTCAGTAAAAGCCAGTCCCCTTCTCCTCCTGCCGTTAATGTTTATAACCACTTAAAAATAAACTTTAGCACAGTACCTGGTTTATCCTTCTAAGAGCAGCTTCTGCCTCCGGTCGGGTAATATAAGAAACGTACCACTCTTCACTTAATGAATTCTGAAAAGGTAAATTTTTAAAATACAGAATAAATTGTGCAGTTACATAAGTAAGTAAAAAGAAAGGCCTCCAAGTAATCATTTTCATAAATCGCCACCTCCATGCCATGAGGTTGGAAACGTTTGTTTTCTTAATTTAATAAAGAATCATTCAGGTAAGGCTAAATAGAAGGTATTTCCTGCAAACTGCTTTTTATCATGACGCTGTTTCAAAGGTATCTGCGAATAAGTATTCCTTATATAATGGAATCTTTAATGAGGAAAATATAGATATAATAATTTCTTCAGTCTAATAGAATAATGGACTTAATGAAAAAACTGAATTAACAAGCATTTAAGGGACTTACTCAAGGTCATAAACTAGAAAACAGATGAAAAATAGGATCATGGTACTCACTGTTAAATGCAAAACACATTTGCCATTGGAAAAGTCTTTAAGAACACAAGGAAAAAGAATATATTTTTCACCTGGATCCTCCCTTTTAATTATTTTCACTTAAAAACAAATTAAGGCCATGCCCAGCCGTGGCATGGCTCAGTGGTTAAGCATGGACCTATGAACCAGGAAGTCCGGGTTCGATGGCTGGTCAGGGCACATGTCTGGGTTGCGAGCCCGATGCCCAGTGTGGGGCATGCAGAAGGCAGCCGATCAATGATTCTCTCATCATTGATATTTCCATCTCTCCTCCCTCTCCCTTCCTCTCTGAAATCAATAATATATACATATAAAATTAAGGTCAAGAAGATAAAAGTACAAAAGAATGTTCAGTGGGAGTTTACGGTGATTCATTTCCTGGGGGAAAATGAAAATGCAATGAAAACATATGTGTATCTTTACCTCTTCTTCCCCAGGGGATGGTGGCCGGGGTTTGGTTGGAACCGGCAAGGAAAAGTTCCTGCCTTCTGACCTGAGCGGTGGTCTGTTGCCGGAACCTTCAAAAGTACAACATTTGGAAGTTAATTTACTGTAAACCCTTTTTCACTTCTGTCATAACACATACTCCCGCCCCCCCCCCCCCCAATTGCTCTTGCAGTTGTTTCCAGCAACTAGCATTTCAGGAAGCCTAGTTCAACAATAATTTCCACCTGTTCAAAACCACCACGTGGTGACGAGGCAGGAATGAAGATAATTATGTTCTCTCGTGTTCACAAAGAGAAATGTCAGTTGCCTGAGACAAGATGAAATTACCTTGAGAATACTGCTAGCTTTTAGAACCAGAGTTTGCTCCCTGCTGCTCACTCTCTTTGAACACCTGGAGGAGATATTCTTTAAAAGGCAAGGCCTCGCCCTGGCTGGTTTTGCTTAGTGGCTAGCGTCAGCCTGCAGACCAAAGGCTTCCGGGTTCCATTCCAGTCAAGGGCACATGCCCGGTTGCAGTAGGGGGTGTGCAGGAGGCAGCCGATAGGTGATTCTCATCATTGATGTTTCTATCTCTCTCTCCCTCTCTCTTTCTCTCTGAATCAATAAAAATATATATATTTTTAAAAGGCACGGCCTCACCCAGACTTACCGAATTGAAATTTGGGGGTTGGGTTCTCTTAATCTGTCTTTTAAACATGTTTCTCAATGTATAAGTCAAGTGTAGATTCATTGTGGAAACAAACTACAGAGAAAGCCCAGTACTACGCCGAGCCCGGGATAAAAACATGGGCCTGGGAGCTCTACCGGGGAAGGTTAAAGGCCAAGGCCGCCTTCCGGAGTGGGGTAAGTTTCCAGCAGCCCTTGGCGCACTGCAGACCCAACTTCAGTGCTGGATGAGGAAGCTGATGCCTTTAGGAACCAGCACAACCTTGGCCAAGAGCTTTGGCACAGGTCGGTAACCCTGGCATGACGGCGTGTTGCCTGGAGTAGGCCCCCGGGTCCCAGACCACAAACCTTGAGAGAAGTTTGGCGGCAGGGAGGCGCTCTGCGGGAAGCTGCTGCTGCTGCGGGAAAAGAACACACTGTCAGCTGGGTGAGGAGGAGCCAGTGGGCGGCTGCATGAGGGAGACCGGGCTGTCATGCTCCTTCCTTTGTGAGTACTTCCCACCCCGCCCTGAAACCAGGGAGCCGGGCCGGAGACGGAACGGGGCGCACGCATCTCACCACCGGCCAAAGTCTAACCAGCTTCGCCAGCCGCCAAACAAAACCAAGAAAACTGTAAGTACGGGCATTTGAAAGCGACTTCATATGGTTGGCTGCACTTTGAGGCTTTCGAGTTTGGGGAATGGCAGAGTCCTCTGGGGAGAGGGCCTGTCATGGTTAGGAAAATACAGTGATGGGCATGGAGTTGGGGAACAGGGGACCCCCAGGGCCTCACAGTGGACAACGAGAGGGTGGGCGGGTGAGGAACAGAGACCAGGCGGCGCTGCAGCGGACGGTAAGGGATTCTGGGGACCCTAAATGCCATCTGTCCATGCTGCACGGCCATGCCCCCACCCATTAGCCCAACCCCCTTCTGTCCAAGTCTGCTCTGCTCGGCAAGCTCCCGTGAGTGGTGTTTTGTGAGAATGAAGGCTAGGGCAGGGGCCCGTGTGGGCGGACAGTGTGGAAAAGGGCAGGTGTGGCAGAGGAAGAGGCATAGCTGGAAGGGTGAGAAGCAGCAGCAGCAACTCAGAGCAAGAGGCACCCAAGGAAGATTAAAAAAAATAAAAAAAATTGACGGGGGGCGGGGAGGGGGGTGGGAGTCGTGCTGATGGTTGAGTTTTCTCCCGTATTTAGAGCGGGGCTGGGCCTCTCCCTTTGGATATTAAAGGAGAGAGCGAGCCCACAGGGCTGGAGGTCAGGGAGACACCAGGAGGCACCCTGTGGGCCTGCTGAGGGAGACACGACCGGCGTCTTTTTCCTGTCCGTGCCCCTGGCCAGCCTCATTGCGGGCCCTGAGATCCGCCCTGCTGCTGAGATCCGCCCCTGCGGGGACAGCCTGCACAGTGGACCCTTCGCACCTGCCAAGTACACGGTAGGCTTTCTCCATCTCCACTCAAGACGCAGGGTGAACTCCAGGGACTCAGGTAACTGGGTTTCTTGAGTGGTCGTGTGTTTAACTCACAAAGTGAAAATGTTCCCCATTTCCTGCCAAAGCGTCCGTTCTTTGGGGTGACCATGAGGCATTCTATTCCATACCTCTCTCACCCTGAGCACAGACTCAGAGGACACGGTGGGTTAAGAAGTGCGGCTCGTTGTGATTAGCTTGGTTTTGGTTCTTAAGACCCAAAATATTCTGACCCTACTATATACTGGCTCATTTCTTCCTTCCTAACTTACCTCACATTAGCTCAGTCTCAGTGGACCCAGACGTCAAGTTAGATCTTAAGGACATTGCACAAACCTCTCTGAGAATGCTCCGAACATGTGTGATGATGGGAGGGAGGACTTGGGCGATGGTTTGTTGGATCTTGAAGGGAAAGTGTTGGAGCTCATGGGGAGCAGTGTTGGCTGGGGCAAAGGTCTTTGATGCACTGTGGGAAGGGAAAGAAGAAAAAAATAAAGCTGATTATCAGGGTCCAAGTGTCATAGAACATTCCAGAACTGCTCCCCCATTAGAAGCAACTAGTCCAAAGAGAGATACAAACATCCAAGAAAGATGAAATGTAATTAGGAAGTGGTTGGTAGGATGGAACCCCACCTCCCAAGGACTTTCTGGGTGACCTTTCACCTTAGCGTGCATTTTAAAATGTTGCCATTCTATGTCAGTCTCTGTAATACACTTTTTCCCCCTTTTTTGAAATGCCAAGTTGGCAGAAAATTATCAATTGGAAACCATATGCATTTTAGAAATGATTCACAAGTTTTGTTCTGTTTTATGAAAGCCAGATTGTATGCTGTCCTATTCTTCTGCAATTAGTGATCCTTTACCCATGTGCACGAGAGGGCACAATAGAAATGTTTCCATCACACCATACATGCCATTTCTAACTCGCTGTACCATTAAGTAATTTGCACCGACACGCACAAACTTAATGGTTCTCTTTGGTAATCCAGCCAAACAATTCCATTTTATTACAGTCATGCAGTATACCACATGATATATGTCCATTTAAAACTAATTTAACAAATGTAATTGACTTTATGGTGTTTCTGTACTAAAAAATTTCGTTTGAATGCCTGAGCAGAAAAATGAAGGGATGAGTTATAAGTTATAAGATGAACATACCATCATCTTCATCCTGGTAAAGGGAAGAAAAAATATATATTAGTCTATCATCAAGACGATTCCTCAATCACATAAATGGCTCTATTTCACATTAGCAGTGTGCGACTCTGTAACGAATATATTGTAGGGAACAGAACTAGTTAAGTGGTTTATGATTCCTTAATACAAACCGGCATCGAAGGACACTCCACCCAGAGCCTCTCCCTATATACTTAGCATCAAACAGGCCCTGAGGTGCCTAAAAGGGCCCAAAGATACAGCAATGACACCAATGATTCATGCATGATCTTTCATCCAGTTTCCTCAGCGACCCATCAAGGATTTAACATCCCCATTTACACATGGAAACCAGCTGCTCAGGGGGGACTCCAAACTTGCCAGGGAATTGTTACAGAACTGGATTCAACCTGCATGTGTCTAGCCCCAAGCTCAGCCTTCCTTTGGGCTCTGCTGTGCAGTGGCCACTCCTGTGAAGAGCAACTGCATCTTATTTATGATGCGCTTACAAGGTGCGCCCGCATCGCTCAGCACACTGATCTGCAGGGCGCCCTTGTGAAACCAGCAAGGGGGAGGCGAGTTGCTCTCTCCTCAGATGAGAAATGATGGGAGAGGCATGTTGCCATTGACTAGACCAACACTGGCAACTTGGCTTGTTTTGTTAGGATAGCATGCTGGTGATGAAAGTGCTGTGAGCATTACATTAGTTATGACTTGTGCCTCACGTATATGGAGTGCTCATGAGAGTTAGCTGTCACTAGTCTACCACTGAGATGAGGCAAGAAGGATCACAGCCAGAATCACTCATCCCACGTGGCCAACTGGGAGTCCCCACCCAGGGCTGCAGAGCTGATGTGCGTGGGCTCCGCGAATCCCCACAATGAAAGCTCTCTTCAACACGGCTGCCACCATATCAAGTCCCAGGTTCTCATGACAAGAGCAGCTACCCTTCCAGGGATTGTGAGCCGCAGGAATCTGATGTTACCCTCACTTTCAACCTTCCCTCCTCTTGTCCCTCTGGCTCGGCAGCCAAGCTGCCATTTTCTTGAGCTCCTGGGCTCCCTGGGCACTGCCACCCACCCGCCTTTGCTCAGGACGTTCCTGAGGCTGGGCTGCAAGCCCACTTCTCTTAGGGTGACTTCACTCTGTGCCCTCCCCAACATTCAATGGCCACCACAAATTTCACCTCTAAGAAGTCGCCCCTGGCTCCTCGACCCCCATGGGTCACTTTCTTCCCTTCACCTCCGTAGCTCATTCCATGATCATACACTGTTTAGCATGTTGGCTGTGGGTTTGCCTGCCTCCATCACGTCTTAACACTTCATCTAAACAAGCGCCCAATCTAGCACGGAGCTTCAGAACAGCAGGCACTTGTGGGCTGAGCCCTGAATAGGGCAGGCGTATGATAGCCTGCAGAAGGCTTACAGACCAGAGGACTCAGCTCCTGCCTACTTACTCACTGTACTACTTGCAAGGAGCATGGCACCCCCTCTGAGCTTCAGTTTCCTCTTATAAGAGAAACCATGAGTCCTCACGGGGTCAGTAAAGGCAAAGCGTGTGTAAAACTGGGTGACCAACTTTCCTGGCTTGCCTGAAACTGATGGAATTCTGGGACATGCGACTTTCATTGCTAAAGTGGGCAAGTCCTGGGCACACAGCTGGTCCACCAACTGTAGCTAGCTTGCACACAGTAGGCATTCAATAAATACTGTTTCCCCTCCTTAGCAGGTTGTGCAGGTATTAAAAGGAAAAGAGAGGACTTAGAAACTCTGCTGCAAGGCCAGCCTCTCGGCCATCCCTCCCTTCATTCTCCCTCCCACCCACTGCCCTCCACCTTGCTATTTGCCACGAGAATTGGGGCTGCTATTCACCCAGCCACCCCGGGAGCTCTCAGAGGGGCCTGAGCTACTACAGTGCAGCCTGGCAGCGGGCCGGCGGGACAGATGGAGGCCCCAAGAGGCACAGGACTCTGGAGCCCACAGTGTGTAGGTTTGTCTCTGGGACTGGGCTTCAGTGAAGGCAGGACAGAGGGACCCCCGCCTGCACGGAGCCCGCACTAGTTTCCCCTGTGCCAGGCGCTCACCGAATGCCATTGTGTACTTACATTCTCTCTTCTGTCTGGTGCCCGTGCATGCCTGAAATGAAATGGGGCAAAGAAAGAGAACTGAGCATGAAGTTCAAAGACCCGGCCTCAGAACATAGATCGTTTCACTTGGCGTAATAGTGAGAAATCAAGCCCACTGAGCTGTGGCAGAATAGGAAGCAAAAAAACTCCCAAAACCCAGCAGAAAAGTGGGGAGAGGCCATGGGGGGAAGTCTGGTGACTGAGCGCTGTCCTGTTGCCCACTGAGCTAGGCAAGCCTTTATTCTGTTCAGCTCCTGCAGCAAAGAATTACAAATGAAAAAGGGTTTAGCCAGCAAACTAACTCTTTAGTAGCTGTTAAATGTCATTGAATAGATGTTGTACCAAGCAAAAGAGAGCCATCGCAGCTCCCATTCTCCTTCGCTGATGGGTTAAACAGCCATCCCGGGCCCACCCTTTGGGGGAAGGGAAGACAGTTGGAAACGCGGCTGCTCTGGAGCTTTGCCCGGATGCACAGCTAGTCCCGCAGGTTGGCGGCAGCTGTGCCCCTGGGCCTGCATCCGCTCTCCCGACAGAGTGGGGAGGGGATGGCATTGCACATAGTAGGCATTCAGGGTGAGGGCTGGAAGCTTCACCTGCCACGTCTCCCTGTATTTAAAATTCTGATATTCTGTTCATTATATTTTTTCCATTCATTTTGAACTTTTAAAACATTCCATTAAAATGTTAACTGATCACTGAGGTTTGGGGTGTACCCAGCCCTGGGCCAGACTGAATCCTCACACTGGCCGAGCCAGGGTCAGAGTTACAACTATTATTAAATTAAATGGAAGCTTTGGTTTTGTCCTCAGTAAGTGGTGAGGCTGGGCCTGACCCTTTGGTAAATAGGCCCCCAGAACTTTCTAGCAAAGCGAGCAACGTTAGAGCAGACTTCAGGATTCTGCTGTTATAAAATGAGGAAGACACTTTCAGCGGCCGACACCTCCCCCCCCACCCCCGCCATTATCTCCTCCTGCTGTCTGTATGGAAAACTGCAATGCCAGGTCCAGGTCCCATGCCCTGTGGTGGGAGCAAAATGCAGCCGCAAATGTGACTGGTTGAGGACAAGGTTTCCATGAACAGCAGTCACGCCCACACCCCCGATTAAGCATCTCCCCACCCTTTCTTGGCTGGATTGCCATTTTCTTCAAAGGGACCCTGGGACTTTGCATCCAGCCTAAGCAGCCCGAGTATTCCCTTAGCCCTAGCAGCAGACAGGATGCGGGTCCCTGAGGAAAGCTACCACTAGGCAGGTGGCGGGGGCATCCGCAGCAAATGACAAGCTCAAGCAACAGAGGACAGTTACTTGGGCACAGGTGGCTTCTTCCCGGGCAGGGGGCTACTCCTGTCGTGTCTTTCCGCGGTCGGGGGTAAAGGAGGCTTTGGTATCTTGGGTAAATGGTCCCCGAGAGGCCTGCAGAGTTGAGAGAAAGGATGTGTGAGACACAAACCAGAGTCCCAGGCAGACCAGTTCCCTCCCGCAGACACAACAGAGCACTCACCTTCCTGCTGGGGTCGGGGGCTGCAAGACAGGAGGGAAGACGAGTGAGTGGCCTCAGCACTTTCCAAAGAATAAAGACAAGATACAAGACACGACCAAAATGAAAACAAACACAAACAAACAGGAAAGCAGCTCACCTTGTCAGAAAACACCGGTTTCTTTCCTGTAAATGACAAACAGCAGACAGGCCTTGAGTTCTGGCCTTTACCAGCTAAGCACCAGGCATTAAAACTTAGTTTGATGAAATTAAACTGAGTCTCATGGGGGGAGGGAGGGAGGGAGGGAGGGAGGGAAGGAGCTGCTTGGGTTCAAGCTGGGAGGAACCATAGACCTTAGACCTGATTTTTCAGGCTCAGAGAAATTAAGTGACTTGCCCCGGGTCGCACAGCATTGCGTACATACAAACAGTATTCTGGGTTCTGTGCTTCTCTCCCACAGTTTATTTTAGGTAATGGGTGATGAAAGGATTGGGTGTCTTTTGGGGTTTTATCCCTCTTTCATTGGGCAAGAGGTTCTTGGTATAAAGCCTACGTTTATGTTTGTGTCTGAAATAAACCCATTTGCCACGAAGAGGTTAACTTTCCTCTAATCCTTTGGTACCGTTGACATTATATAAAATATTAATTACACTTAGTTTCTGAGAAGATTTTTAACTTGGGGAAGAGGGTTTCTGAAGATTCTCCTGGCGGGCTGGTTTTTGTTGGCTGGCCTTTCTTCCTTTCTTTTTCTTTCACTTTTCTCATGAGCAGATAACCTTCAGGCTCCCTGAGGGAATGAGAACTCTGCATTGCAAAGTTATTCACAGCGCTTTCTTCTTTATTCTGTCTGAAATGCCCTATATCCTCAATGTAATACAAGTATTACTCAGCTGGATTCAAGCAGGTCTAGAAGTAAATCCTGCACGATCTTGAACAAGTTATTTAAGGTCTTTGAGTCTTGATTTTCTCACCTGTGAAATGGGAGTGTGGGTGAAAGGGCACAGGTTTGCTATAGGAGTCAGGTGACACTATATGAAGGGTCAGGCACTTGATCCCTGTGAGCTGAGCTTCCCCCCTCCTTCCCACTGTCCTGCACAGCGACCGCCCTGAGGTGGATGGTGAAATGGTCCACCTGGAGTTGTATTTTTACGTGGTTTGTTTTCTAGATGCTGAGTACAGCCAGGCCCACGGGAGGGCCAAGGATCTTGTCTCACTGTGAGGAGCTTCCTGCCCAGTGGGGGAGCATTTTGGTGTAAAAATAAATTTGTCATTCATAAAACTCGTTGGAGGTGAAAACTCTAGAGGGATAACCGGAAAACTTATATGTATATCTTACGCCTGAATAGATTTTCTCTTTTAAAAAATCACTTATTTATGCACATTCTCTGGGCATTTTAGGAATCTCCTGTGGAGAGTCTGAGCTTTGTAAGAGGTTAGTTCTCCCAAAACATCCTGGACAAGTGAGTCACTTCGAGGGCAGAGCTGGTATTGTCAGGACAAGGTCACTTCCCAAGGGGGAAGGAATCTTTTAAAAGGCTGGGTTAGCTCAGAGGTGACTGAGACTTGATGGCAGTATTCCACTTTGTAAGCTTTGGGACAGCACACAGTCCTGCATGAGTCAGCAGAGCCTGGAGCCCTTTAAGGAAAACAGCAGCTAGCAGCTAGCAGCAGCCTCGAGGCCAGGAACTGGCCAACAGGAGAGGAGGCTGAGGCCCCCCGCAGGCGAATGCCTTGCTCAGAGTGAGCGAAGGAAGGGAAGGAAGGGCTCAGGTGGGGCCTGGCCTCCAGGCTCCTTATCCCTCCAAACCTGGGGCTCCTTGCCCAGGACTCTCTGGTCTACAGGGGGAAAGCCAGTGTCTTCAGTGGCAGGAGGAGATGGTGGAAGAGAGCACCACTCTGAAGTCAGAAAGACATGGGTTCAAATCCTGTACCTAGTTATACACATTTAGGGATGTTATTCAACCTCTCTGAGCCTCAGTTTCATCATCTGCATAGGTGGGGGGGAGGGGGGGAGGTAATGCACCCCCTTGGTTGGGTTGGTTTGGGGATTAGAGAAAATGTAGGTAAAATATTATGGTAGGTAAAGCACTGGGTCAATAGTAGGTGCTCAATAAATGGTAGCTACGTTTTAGAATTGAGTTGAAAATAGCTTCATGTGGAGGTAACTGTGATCCAAGACTACCCCGGGTCAGTTCTGGGGGAGAAGGACTGTCGTAGACCCACAGTTTGGTCAACTGCACACAGACAACAAAAGTAACCCTGCCGTTTAAATAGCACGTTAGAGTTTATGAAGCATTTTCTCCGAATAGAACACACACCTTACAAATAAGGAGGTAGCTCTGAAAAGATTAGGTCCCTGTGGCCAGGCAGCTGCTAAACAACAGTTCCTCCCTCGGCACCACAGTGCCCCCTGCATCACCTTCGGGAGGACAATGAGAGGAGTGTACACAGATGGCCCAGGGGAGAAGCAGGCCCAGCACAGGGCACAGGGCAGGAGCTCTGCTTCAGGCTGATCTGGGTTGGGGTTTCTACTTGGTAGCTGAGTGATCTTGGGAAATTACCTCTTTATGCCTCAGTTTCCTCATCTGTAAAATGCAATGTTTCTAAAAGCCCCCACTTCATAGTGTGGTGGTGTTAGTTAAATGAGTTGGTGGGTGTGAAAGCCATGCCATAAGCACCCTATAGAGGCTGGCCATTATTATTATGCATCCAATACAAATGATACGCACCTAGTGTGAGGGGCTCTCTGTCAAATGGAGCTAACGAACGATCGAGGGTGGGCTTGGTGCTTCTGTCTATCGAAGGAGCCGGGACTGGAAGGGAAAAGAAGGAAGTCAATTAAAAGAAGAATGGTTGGCTGGGGGGTGGGGCATGGCAGGCCAAGGAGAGTGGAACTCACGCTTTGCTGTTTTGGGAGTTCTACTTCTGCTAGGCTCTTCCTGGTTGGGCTGGGGTGTGGGGAGTGGCTGTTTGGAAAAAAAAAATGTTAGGAAGTATTTGCAACACATCAGCAGTTCCTGGTGGCTTTATCTCCCCAAATATGTCTGAATCTGTTCACTCTTCCCCATTTCCAAGTTCCACCCTCAATCTTAATCTCTGATCCCAGTCTGAACAGTAGCCTGCTACGGGAGCCCCCTGTTCTGCCCTCTCTCCCCCAAAGCGATTCCTGCATGGCAGCGGAGGGAGGGAGTTGCTCCCTGACAAGCCTGCTAGTAGATCCAGCTCAATGTCACCTCCCCACCCGTCATCACATTCCTGGGTCTTCTGTCTCCTGAGCCTCACATTACTACTCTAACTGTTGTGTTTATACATCTATTTACTTTTTTTATTATTTGTCTTATTCACGCTCACTCTATTCCCAGCAGCTAGAACGCTGCTGGGCACACAGTATGCTCAATAAATATCTGCTGATTGAATGAGTGGATTCTGCATGCCAATGGCAGAGTTCACAGCCTTCAGATTTCAAAAGTAAAATGCATTTGTAGATCAATTCAGGTCTGTGAGCCCCCTTTGCAAGAAAACTGCACAAGCAGGAGGGAGCTGACCATTCTCAGATGGGAGGTCCTGACTGTGGTATGCTCTTGATTTTGAGCTTTGGGGGCAATATGTCCTCTCCCTCCCTCTAGCCCTGACACTGTCCTCTCCCTCCCTCTAGCCCTGACACTGTCCTCTCCCTCCCTCTAGCCCTGACACTGTCCTCTCCCTCCCTCTAGCCCTGACACTGTCCTCTCCCTCCCTCTAGCCCTGACACTGACCTCTCCCTCCCTCTAGCCCTGACACTGTCCTCTCCCTCCCTCTAGCCCTGACACTGTCCTCTCCCTCCCTCTAGCCCTGACACTGTCCTCTCCCTCCCTCTAGCCCTGACACTGACCTCTCCCTCCCTCTAGCCCTGACACTGACCTCTCCCTCCCTCTAGCCCTGACACTGTCCTCTCCCTCCCTCTAGCCCTGACACTGTCCTCTCCCTCCCTCTAGCCCTGACACTGTCCTCTCCCTCCCTCTAGCCCTGACACTGCCCTCTCCCTCCCTCTAGCGCTGACACTGTCCTCTCCCTCCCTCTAGCCCTGACACTGCCCTCTCCCTCCCTCTAGTGCTGACACTGCCCTCTCCTTCCCTCTAGCGCTGACACTGCCCTCTCCCTTCCTCTAGCGCTGACACTGCCCTCTCCCTTCCTCTAGCGCTGACACTGCCCTCTCCCTCCCTCTAGCGCTGACACTGTCCTCTCCCTCCCTCTAGCCCTGACACTGACCTCTCCCTCCCTCTAGCCCTGACACTGTCCTCTCCCTCCCTCTAGCCCTGACACTGACCTCTCCCTCCCTCTAGCCCTGACACTGTCCTCTCCCTCCCTCTAGCCCTGACACTGTCCTCTCCCTCCCTCTAGCCCTGACACTGTCCTCTCCCTCCCTCTAGCCCTGACACTGTCCTCTCCCTCCCTCTAGCCCTGACACTGTCCTCTCCCTCCCTCTAGCCCTGACACTGTCCTCTCCCTCCCTCTAGCCCTGACACTGTCCTCTCCCTCCCTCTAGCCCTGACACTGCCCTCTCCCTCCCTCTAGCCCTGACACTGACCTCTCCCTCCCTCTAGCCCTGACACTGCCCTCTCCCTCCCTCTAGCCCTGACACTGTCCTCTCCCTCCCTCTAGCGCTGACACTGTCCTCTCCCTCCCTCTAGCCCTGACACTGTCCTCTCCCTCCCTCTAGCGCTGACACTTTGGCACTTGCCATGGCTGTTAGAGTGCTTGGATCCCTCATGAGGGGAACACATTTCCAGATATTGACTCCTTATCCTGAACTTCTCGGGGTCTCTCTGGGTCTCCCTGGGTACTTGGATAGGCCCCCAGGACCCGAGACTGTAAGTTTGGAGAAAGAGGAAAGGGAGTTGCTGCCTCTCTTTCGATCTGGTCATAAACCTTGTAGTCTCCAGGCATTTGCCTGTGGAATTTCTGGCATTGGCCAGCAGGTGGTGCACATCCTTTTTGCAGGAGAGAAAAGGGGACCTGGGACTCTTGGAATACCATTAGGTGTCATTGACTTACAGTTTTCACTTATTTCAAAAGTGAGAGACTTTTTATTAAGCAATTAGCTTAAATTGTTTATGATAGAAATAAAATACCAATAATCATTATAATATGAATAAAAACCACTAGTATATCAATCCTCCCCCACCCCAAAAAACACACATATACACAATGCGGTGAGTACGTGGGTATGCATTTTCCCAGCCTGCATATAATCCTGTCTTACTGGCGAGAAGTAGATGAAGATGTTTACCAACTTCTCTCTGGCAGAGGAGGTCTGCGGAAGGGGCAGAAAGTGCCAGGGAAGAGCGAGGAGGCCTACCGTGTGGCTCCGGCCGGCTGGTGGGGGAGGGAGGGCAGCCATCGGTCGCTGGGGCGGCACGGGTGGCTGCTGGGGGGATTTCCCGGAGAGGGGCCGGTCTGGGAAACACAGGCACAGCAAAATGAAAGGAGAAATGCTAAAGCAAGGTGAGTGTGGGCCACGCTCAGGGGTTCCCAGAAACAGATTCTGCACCCAGTTCTGCACATCTCGGGGCTCCAGGAGCCCTAGGTCCCACAGCCTTCCGCCAGCGCCAGCGCAGGCTGCGGCAGGGATGTGTCCATACCTGGGTTACAAGCGGTGGGGAATCAGACACACATACTAGTACACACAGAGGCACTCACGGCTCATGGAGATCCTGTTCTGGGTTCCCTTCCTTCCCCTCACAAATGCTCTGGGCTCTTCTGCTCCCTCTTACTTCCTCCTTTGGCTTATCTCTTCCCTTAAAGGGAGGAGCTGGTCTTCAACTCCAGTTACCCAATCACAGATTCTTAACTGGTTAGGACTTGCCCTGGAGAGCAACTCAGATCTTTCTGGTCACTACAGAAGAAGTATCCCTGAGCCAGGCTTGCAGGCTGACAACGTCCCCACCCCTTCAACAGGGAAAGGCCAGGCCAGGACTGCAGTGCCGGCCTCCTTACACTTTGGGCCCTGGGTGCCTCTCTTATGTCACCCTAGCCCCAGCCCTTGAGAGGCATCACCTGTCCATGGAGAATGGGCCTTAGAACGTAGGCAAGTCAGGTCCGAGCTCATGCCACTCCACCCACACTGGCCATCTCTCAGCTCCTCTGAGATGCCATGCTCCTACTAACCCCAGGACCTTTGCACAGCCATTTCTACTGCTTAGCATGCTCTTCTTTTCCCACAACTACCCTCACTTAGCCTCAGCCCTACTCATCTTTTAACTTTCAGCTTAAATATCACATCCTCAGGGAATCAAACCCAGACGAGGCATATACCCCAGCCTCATCTCCCACACTTGTCTTCTGAGTATATATCATGTTTTAATTAAACCATTTTGTGACCCATTCATTTGACGTTGCCTCAGCCACTGGACTATGAATTCTTTAGGGTGAGGACTGTCTTGCTCACTCTGTATCTTCATAACTGACACATATGAGGTACTCAACAAGTCAGTTATCTATTTCTTCACTGGGCCTGCTTCCCTACATATATAAAAAAAAGGTTGATAATTGTTGCCCTTATCACATAGAGTGCTTACAAAGACAAAATAAAATGTTGACATGGAGTTTATGAAAGGGCTTTAAAATTGCCAAGTGTGATATAGAATCGGTGGTATTAATTTTTTGTGATACTGACCATTAACTTTCTGGCTTACTCCTTGATATTGTATTCTACGTGCTTATTTTCTGTCACCATCTCTCCTAAAACGTAAGCCCTGCTAGGCAAGGGCTATGTTTTCTTCCCTGATAATGCTGACTTTCAGCATAGAATGGTGCCTGGATCATAGTAGGAGGTCAGTGATTTTTGTTGAATGAATGAGTGAATGAATGAATGAGAAATGGGCTGACAGAAATAGAGAGACAGTGAAAATCTTAAAAATTTGAAGTTATGCTCAAACCCCACTCAATATGGTTATATTATTCTGACAGCCTGTGGGTATTTGTGTCACCTAACTATGAGTTGGTCAAAAAATGTGGAGAAACAGGACACAACGAGTTATTACTGCCACGTACCCTCAAGTGGCAGTTCAGTGCTGGTATCATCATAGGCAATGATTTCTCTGCAGTCTGAACAGTCCTCACAGCAAACCTCTGTGGGTGTGTTATTATTAGCCTGTCTCACAGAGGAGGAAACCGAGGCCCAGGAGGTGGAGTCACTTGCCCAAAGCTGGCATCAGCACATCCAGCTTTCTGCTGCCTGGGCGCCCACCTCCGGTGCATCGGTGGGGGCCGGGGTGCTGGAGGCCAGGGGCCGGGGACCAGGGGCGGACTGCAGGGCCCTTACCGATGTACATGGAGTTGGAGTTGGAGAACGGCTTGGCAGGCAGGATGGAGTTTTGCAGGGCTTCCTCGTCATTGGAGGGTGGCGGCTCGTAGTCAGCGTCGTCTTCCAGGGGCGCCTGGTCCTCCTCGTTGGGGGACTCATAGTCGCCATCATCCTCCGCATCCTGATCGTCATTGGGACTCTCATAGTCGTCTTCTTCCTGCCACAGTGACGGGGACAGCGCAGGCTGTAGAGGCTCCTCGGCACTCAACGTGCCTGTGTCTACTCTCTCTGCCAGGCTTCACAGTGGTACTCGCGTGGGGAGAGGCAGCACCAGGATGGTCACTCCCATTTTACAGCTGAGAGCACTGAGGCTGGGGAGGACAGTATGACAGGCCAGCGAGTCGTGGCCTGGGGACCTCTGTCAAGGTCTTCAGGCCATGAGGGCAGTGCGTTTTCCTCTACACCGTTGTGCCTAACTGAGACAAGCAAAAGAAAGGAGGAGGACTCTGGAATGGAGGGGCCGGAGGCCTGGCTCCGTTTTGAGAAAACGGTTTTTACTCCAGGCATCACCAAGTGGCAGACTAAATGCCTGGAGCATTTGTGATGCCCCAAGTTCATTGTCGATTCTGTTCATTGAGGGTGGGTGCTGTGCTCAAAAAAATGTCTTCTCATTACAACCCAGTGCAGCGCTGCAGGCCACGCTAATGGCTAATGGGAAGGCAGAGAGCCACGCCGGAGTCAGAAAGCAGGTTGAGCTGTGTCTGGGAATGTTTAGGGGCCAGTCACACTGAGCTATTCATTTCAGCTGAGGGCTGCACATACAGAAACAGGTCCTGACCTTGACACTGAGTTTGAAGCCGCTCTATTGGAAAGACTCTAAGTTTTGTATTGCATTGCACATGTGCTTCTCTGTGTGTGCCAGGAAGTCAGCCCTGGGGGCGGGGTGGTTGCCTGGGAAGCAGTCCCTGGACCTGGACAGTCACAGGGATGACGTCCCAAGAAGAGGGACCACCATCAGCCGCCCAGCGGAGTGGCTGGTCATTCTCAGGCCAAAGTCAAGGGCAGTCAGCGAGCCCAGGGCACTTCTCTCAAGTTCAGGGCAAAGAAGCAATGGGAGGTTGCAGCTCGGTGAGGAAAGCGATGGAGTGATCATCTAGAAATCCTGGCAGCTCTGTGGGTGGCGTGAAGAAGACCAAACTGTTCAACTGAAAGATTGTTGTGTTAACTTTTGACTTGAGGAGCATTTGAAAATATATGTTGGAAGGCAAAGTGAGGATTGAGTGTCTTCCTGGACTCCAAACAAGGCCTGTCCTGTCATTAGTGTTTCTTTATCTTAAGAGCCAAGTGGGGGGAGGAGGCGGGAGGAGGGGGGGCACCTGTGACAAACAGGACTTCAGAACGATGGTGTCAGCCCTCTCCAGCCCAGACTGACTGTGCCCTGGTCTCATGGGCGACCCTCGATTCTCTCAGCCTGCCCCCCCCCCACCCCCCCCCCCCGGCCCATGGCGCCTGACTTCCTACCAGGCTTCCCCTACAGGCCTTTGCAACCATAGACTCTTCCTCTCCACCTCTAGGACGATTACGTCTCCCAGTGACTGGTGTGTGTGTTCTTGTTCCTGATCAGACTCTGCCCCGCACCTGTGCCATCCCTGTGCATGTCCTGCACTGTGAACTGCTCACACATTCGGGTTCTTTATCGCCACCCTGCCCCCTAGTGCCCCGCTGGGTACTGGGCACGACCTGGAAGCCCCGCGTTCTGTGGTCAGCAGCGAATGGAAACCATCTGTTTATAGAGGGGAGCGGGGCAGCTCGTCTGGGGCTGAGCCCTGCACAGAAGGCACTGCATTCGGCACCTGCAAGGATGTCGCTTCTGGGCCAATGGGTAAACATTTGGGGGAGCTCTGGTCTGTCTTCCTTTCCTACGAGATAAATCTGACCTATTCCTTCGTGTTCAGGCACAAAGCACAGAGTTGGCAACTTTTTCAAATTCAATGCTTCCCTTTGCCCGAATCCCAGTGAATGGGATAAGGAATGTGCAGGGCCTGTTCCTAAAGGCACTAGAGCAGTGGTTCCCAATGTGAGGCACATGCCCCACGGGGGGCAATTTGATTTTTCAGGGGTGGCAATTTGAGAATGAGTTACTAACAGTGAATTTTTCGCATTTCTTATGGCTCTAGGGCAGCCTTGGGCAAACTACGGCCCGTGGGCCGGATCCGGCCCGTTTGAAATGAATAAAACTATTGAAAAAAAAGACCGTACCCTTTTATGTAATGATGTTTACTTTGAATTTATATTAGTTCACACAAACACTCCATCCATGCTTTTGTTCCGGCCCTCCGGTCCAGTTTAAGAACCCACTGTGGCCCTTGAGTCAAAAAGTTTGCCCATCCCTACTCTAGGGGCTTCATATAGAGTATATAAATACATATTGTGACATATTTAAGCATTTCAGTTCTCTATTGTATGTTTCGGAACTATTTGCTATTTTTTATATCACTTCATATTATTATTTTTTAACAATTTCTTAGTGATGTGTTCCTCGGTACTTCAACTGTCCTTTCGTTCTTTGATTTTTCTCTTTCACGGATGCCACGTTCTTTGGAAGCTTGTTTAGACCATGTGAATGGCCTTTTAGGCTTCCTCCCCGTGAATAGGAGTTCTCTTTTTGAACAATAAGAATTCTATGTCACAGGGGGGGCATCAGGGTTTTAGAGATGCTTAGGAGGGGCGTGGCCTAAGAGGTTGGGAGCCCCTGCACTGGAGGCAGCACCTGCTGGCAGACCCATGGCCCAGGGCGGCCACCTGGCCCCAGGCGGGTCTCTAACTAGCTGAGTGGCTCTAAGAAGTCAGGCTCCCCAGTGGGCTCAGCTGCTCCTTCCATAAAATCCACAGATAGGCTCTGGTCCCCATGGAGCCTTCGCCTGGGCCTAGCCTCAAGCACAGCGAGTGTTTATTGGGTGTTAGGGATGACGGTGTGCAGAGCTCATTAGAATCTCAAAGGGGTCCCTGTGACCCCTCAGCTATAAAACCAACTGGCTGGAACCTTCCCTGAGGTCTTCTCAGGCCTAAAGGTTGATTCTGAAATCCGCTTCCTATTGCTCCACCAGGGGGGACTGATGTGAATGAGAAAAGCTACATCCAAGCTGCTCTAAAGCAGGGGGAGGCCCTGCCGTGGGTGGTAACAGTGGGTAATAACGGTGGGTAACGGTGTGGGCTGCAAACTACGACCCACGGACCAAGTTCGGCCCAGCGTCTGGGTTTGTAAAAGAAGCTGGTGAGCTGCCACGTGGATGTCAAGGCCAGGAAGAGTTACTCTCTGGCCTCCGCACATTCCCTGACCGTGGTGGGTACACTGGCCTCTGTGAGAGGCCTGCTCCTCGCTACAAAGACGCTCTGGGAGAGCAGCCAACCATACTCACAAAGGACGACCAGCCCCCATTCTCCTCCTCGTGGCTTTCTGTGGAAGGAGACAACGCTAGTTAGTACCAAAGAAGGTGCTAGAAAGAAAGTGAAAGCAGCTCTTCCTTCAGTGCCTCCCCCATCCATGCCCCACCCCACCTGACACCCCCCTTAGTGCTAGACCGTCTGCCTGAGGGCTCATTCTCCCAGAGGGCAGCGGGCTCTCAACCTTCCGTGTAGAAGCCACTGAGAGTGCTTTAAAGTGGCCGACGTAACCGTCACTGCTGGGAGGCTGCTCTAGAGGCTCAGAACCATGGGCTGGCTCCACGTAGGTGCCCAGCCAAAGCCTGTGTTCTCCGGCCCCCTCCCCAGCCCCGCGTTCCTCTCTGTGTCTCTGCAGAGGGTCCCCGCTGAGCAGGGCCATAAGCCACGTGCCCTGCATAGTGACATCTCTCCTGCCCTCAATCGGGACCCAAACCCTTTTCTGGGTCAGAACCGGCTGACAGGCAATGAACAAGGTCACTGGCATGACCCCCAAGGAGCCCTAGGAACCAGGAGACGGACTAAAGTACCTCCCCCCCCCCCAAAGCCATCTCTCTCCCCCCGAGACCTTTACCTATTTCCTCAGGAAACCGATGGACTTGGGGTCTGCAAAGGCAAGCAGCGTTGCGTTAATGGCCTTACTGACGTCAGGAGGCTCCCCCTTTCCTCCACCCGGCCCTGCAAGAGGGTACCCCAGCGGAGAGTATGTCTCACCACCCAGGACCGAGGTCCTTGTCACTTGGCAACCAGGGCCAGACTGCCCCAAATTCTAGAAACTACCAAAGCCACATGGGTGGGGCCACTGGCAGCTGGCGACTGCCTGACTGTCTCGGAGAAGTTCTGCTGACATCCCAGACCCAGGGTGCAGGGTAGGGAGTGGGAACACCCCCACCCGTCCCGGGAGCCAGCTTCAAGACCCGGGACTGAAGAGACACCGATCACAAACTGGGCCGAACCAGTTCTGCGCCTCCCACTTAAGGTCCGACTTGGGCATGAAAATCCTCGCCCTCCCTCCCGCACACAGGGCCCACTCACTTGCGAGGTGCGAAGATGCTCCTCCTCTCCTCATTCTTGTTGATTTCCTGACTTAACTTACTGAGAATCCTACAAGATAAAGACAGATACGGTGACAAAACCATCCGCCCCCAGCCTTCCCACTGAGACCGGATGCTCCTCGACCCCTCCGACCTCATGCCTGGACCAACCTCCCCCAGCCTTATGGAGTCCTCAGCCTTATGACATGGGGATGACCACCGCGTAGTGGATGCTATCGCGTGAGCCTTCCTGGCTGAGGTGCTCTGACTCTGTGCCTTGCGGTGATGTCTGGCTCCTGGGAAGCCTGCAATCATCTCGGACGTGATTGTATAGCGCTTGACAGGGGCTGTTCATGAGGCCGGATCCCCTTCCATTCTCCTCTGCCTGCCTCCCCCCTCGGTGATGTGGATTCTAATCTCAGAGAAGTATTCCCGGTCAAGGCACAGCCTGGGGAGTGGGAGTGGGAGTGGGAGTGGGAGACTCCCTCCATCACCCATGCCCTGAGGCCAACTGTGGCCAAGACCTTGGAGATACTCCTAGATCCTGGGGGCTGTGAACCAGAAAATCCCCAAATGCCAGGATGGGGAGGGCCTTCTCCGGCGGGACCTCACACAAGCAGGCCTTACCCACAGGTGTCCGTTCCCTGGGCTCTAGCAAACCCCCAGGACACGGGACTCCAGCCTCCCTTCACACCCCCTGCTGAGACCACGGGAGTGAACAGGCTCAGAGTTTCCTAGGGATTCGGGGCAGCTGGGAGGAGCCTGGGAGATGATCTGGTCTAAGGACATTTTCCAGGTGGCCCAGACAAAGGCGGGGACAGGCCACCTGTGGGTTAGTGAGGAAGGCCTCCCCTTTCCCCACAATATAGAAGCTGGGCTCCCCAATTTCCAGGCCAGCACACCCCACACACCACTTCCTGTGTTCACGCCCGTCAGCAGTGAGCATTATGAGCCGTGCCCATCTGAGAAGGACCCAGGAGCTATATGCCTTCTGCGAAGTGACTGTCTCCAGGTGACAAGCCTGGCCCACAACAAAATTGCTATGTTAGAAAGGCAGTACCCAGCACCCACCACTTCCTGCTTCCCTCCTGACCGGGACCCTCCAGACCCCAGACCCCACGCTCCTCCAGGCTCCCAGGACTGCTGCCCAAACCCTCCTCCCTCATTAGATTGACAGCTAAACTAATCGTGATCAGGGCAATGGGGACTTCCGAGGACAGGAGGGGCGGGCATTGCTGAATCCTGGGCCACAGTGTCCCTGTGGGGGTGTCACACTTCACTGACTGCCCGGAAGGGAAGTGTCCTAAAGCACCTGGGGCTTCCCAGTGGCCTTTTGACTAGCACCTGGGACATGTGTCACCTGAGACATGGTTCCTTTGTTTCTTTTGAGTGATTGTTTTGAGAGGCTAAGGGCCCCTCTCCTCCCTCTGACTTGGGGGATGGAAGGATCCCACAGAGGGAATCCTGGCAGGGAGGCCTGGTGGTGTCGGCCTGTGGCCAGGCTGGAGGTCCCCCCTTCATTCAGCCAGGACTGGGCTTAAGGCACCTCAGTACACAAAACAAAGCTTCCTGCCATGAAGGAGGCTCCATGCTAATTAAGAGAGAAGCCGATGCACAATGAACCTTTAAGGAAGTGAAATGCTAGGTGAGACCAGTGTATACAAACATGCCACCCTGGGGTGGTGGTGGGGGGGGATGGGGTGGGGACAGGGTGCCGGGGAGGGTGCAGTGCAGTTGAGAAAGAGCAGGCCTCCTGCTGAGATGACATTTCAGCAGGGACCCGGGGAAGGTGGCGCGGCCCACCTCACCGCCCCCGACCTGGTCCTGCAGAGCCTGGCTGGGCTCTGACTCACGGAGCTGCTTTGATCCTAGAAGGACCTCCTGCTCTGCGAGGTGGAGGTGTCGCTTCGCACCAGTATCTTTAGCAGCCAGGCTGGAGGCTAAGGAAGGAAATGCCAAACCACAGGCCCCACCAGAAGAGAAGCAAAGAGCAGAGAGCGGAGCAGGGCCTGCCCTTCTGGTTTGCAGCAAAACCCGGGCTCTTGGGGTCCTCCTCCTTCGGTGGGCCTCAGAGGACACCTTCCTAGCCAGCTGGGACCACGCTGGGGAGCGGGGGGACAGGGCAGGAAGGCGGTGGCTTCCTCTGTGTGCAAACCTTGTAAGTTGTCCTCCACTCCCACACCCCCAGAGGACCAAGTGACAGTGAGTGGCCGGAGGTGACTCATTCCCCCTCCTTCCCACAAACCTCACACCTCGCTCAGAGCCAGGGAGCGAGGCGGAGGGGGCTGGGCAGCTGGTAGACATAGTTCTCTTCTTTTTCTCATTTTTAGGGGTTCACTGGCTGAGAAAGAGGGGCTGAACCTTCCAGTAGGAAGCTAGGCCATTCAACAGGTGACATCCTGCCGTGACCTATTCTAGCCCAGTTGCACCCCTGCTCGCTGCATCGTAGGGGCCAGTCTGACACCTCCTGGTTACCTTAGACCCAGAGTCTGACAGCAGCGTCCTGCCCACGGGCAGAGGCAGAGCCCACCCTGTGACCTCAGGCAAGGCGTTGGCCCTCCCTGTGGAGTTAAATATAAAACTTACAATATGGGGTTTAAAATAACCTCCCAACAGCCATCAGCAGACTTTATCGTGCACTCTGCCGGCTTACCAGCTCCTGCTCAGCTGTGTGTTGGTTTTGAACTAGGCCCTCTCTATAGGGAGGCTCCATTTTCCTATTTGAAACCCGTCCCCCATTACAGAATTTGGGGTGTCTCTGGGAGACACTGTGTTCTGAGAGACCGACGACAACTGCAGACAGAGAAAGCCCTTCTCACCAGCATGGGTGTTCTGACAAAACCTGCTTAATACTGACTTTTTAATTGGGGGAAGGAAGTAGATTCAGAGGACGCAATTGTGTTTTGGTCTGTTGCACATACACAAATTCTCCTTCACAGACCTTTCGGGTAATGATCAGGGCAAATGCACCTACGGACAAGTGATGGGAATGAGTAAGTAGTGACTATCGATATGTGTCAAGTACGGCACCAGGCACCTGACGCGGGCTGCCTCCCTGAAAACCCACTTCTCTGAGGGTTGGCTCTTTCCCCCTCTGTAGATGAGGAAGCCGAGGCCAGAGTGTTAAGGTGACTGCCCCAGCTTGGAGGAGGCCAAGCCAGCTTTCGAACCTGGCTCTCCCTGGCTCCAAAGTCCATGCCTTTCTATTCCTTCACATACACCCCCACCCCTTACCAGGATAGGATAATTAGTAAAACTTTGATATCCTGCTCATGGGGATTTTGCATAAAATAATAAGAACAGCTGACCCTTCTTCCATGCATTTTGTTGTCTCCGCATTATTTCCTCTAACGTTCCTACTGACCCTTTGAGGTAGGTTCTCTCTACATTTTCCTCCCTTTGGACTTTAATTCGACATCTATTAGGCTACTGGAAGTTTCCTACAGTTCCTTGATACTTTTTATTGTTTTATTTTAATAAAGCATTGTGTTTCATTTTGGATAGTTTCCATTGCTAATTCTTCATGTTTACTGATATTTTCTTCTGCAGTGTCTAATCTGCTGTTAATCCCAAGCAATGCATGTCTCATCTCAGACATTATTGTTTCTATCTCTAGAAGGTTCTCTTTGGGTCCTTTGGTATTTCTCAAGCCTCAACTTAACTTTCTGAACATATGGGCCACCATTATCTTGCCCCTGTCTGCTAATTCTACTATCTGTGTCAGTTATGGGTCAGTCTCCATGCATCGTTTTTCTCCTCATTGTAGGTCAGACTTTCTGCTGATTTGTGTACGCATTCATCTCTGATTTGATGCTTGACGTTGTGACCTGTAGTTTGTTGGGTGATGGATGTTTTTGTATTCTGATCAGTATTTCCAAGCTTTGTGTATGTGTTTTTGTTTTGTTTTAATTTTTCCAGTCTTGCTGTTAAGACTCAGTATGTAGGCATTTTTTAGACTAGGGCTAATCATCCCTCACCACTGAGGCAAGGCCTTTTGTGCACCTTCCCCAGTGACTATGAATTGGATGTTGTTCCAGTCTGGCCGGTAGACACAGGTGCGGCTGGACGCTATTCCCTCTAATGTTGGGTGGTTCTTTTCAGGAAGCCTCCCATGTGCCTGCTCCAATGAGAACTCTGCTGCAGAGGGACCTTGCAGTCCCCCAGGGCATTTCCACAGGGCACCTCTCTCTTCTCTGATCCACATTCAGTGAACTCTCGCCTTCTGGACCCTCAGCCCTGTCCCTTCAACTCAAGGAGGTCAGCAGACTCCACCTGTCCCCTGCCATGGCCTGGAGACTCCCTCAAAGCAGGGAGCAATCATGGAGACCACCACCACCACCACATTCGCTTTCCATCTCTCATTGTCTGATGTTCCATGTTTTAAAAACTGCTGTTTTGTGTATTTTATCTAGTTTTTTGGTTATTTCAGGCTGGAGTGCAAATCTGGTCTCATTACTTCTTGTTGTTCAGAAAGCGAAAGTTTCCATTCCTATGCTAGAAATGACTAGAGCACCTTAGGGAGTGGTGAGGACCTCAGTGAACTGGGGGGCACACCCCCTATCTAAACAGGGCAGCAGACACTCAGATCCAGCTGACTGCTCCCACATTATAACATGAGCCCAGGCTTCTGTCTGTTTCTAAAGAAGCCAGATTTTATAAAACATACTTTGATTTAAAACACCATGTAGATCAAACCTACCTTGCCTGCAGGCTGGCTCTGGCTGGCCAGCCACCAATTCTGACCCCTGTGTGTTAAATTCTCTTCTTTATATCGAACTATGATATTTTTTTCTACAGCATTATATTTCCATAAGCAGAGAAATATCCTGTCTGCACCCTCCAATACAGTAGTCACCGGTTCCATGTGGTTATCAGCCACCAAGATGTGGCTAGTATCTGAGGAACTGAATTTTCCATTTCATTTTCGTTTATAGAGCTATGTGTAGTTAGAGAAAACCCTGAGGGAGCATGAGCATCCTTCAACAACACTTGCCCGAGGAGATAGGTAGCACCGAAAGCAAATCCTTATCCCTTTTTTCCTTCACCCTTTCCGATGAAGGTAACCTGCGGGTCCTGTTTCCTTTAATTGACCTTCTCCAGCAGTCATACTTACTAGAGACCTCCCGGCCTCCCACTCCATTGCCCTACTTCCCTTTTATTAGTATGAGCTCTGGGACCCTTGGAGCAAGAGAAAGGACCACGGAGAATGCCCAGAGGCCCGGTCTCAAACTTGTGTCCCCCAGACTAAATCTAGCTCATAGTTATGTTTACTTAGACTTTCACAGCATTTAACAACATCTGAGCCAACCTTTAAAGATGAGATAAATCAAATAAAACCAATCTGTCTAGCTATGTTTGGTAAATTCAGAGATTGAGCATTCTTGGCTCCACATTGACTGGAGCTGAGTAGCTGCTGCTCTCTGTGGGTGGAGAATATAATTCTGATTTGCCACAATCTCCACCACTCCCTACTGTTCACCACCAATGAGGCTTTGTGTTGATTACCTCAGTTATCATCATAATTGTGCTATTATTTTTCTTATAGAGAAGAAATATGTCTCCATACACATATCTTATTCATAGGTGGTAAAATGATCTCGGCTGGTGTGGCTCAGTGGTTGACCATAGACCTATGAACCAGGAGGTGGGCATGGTTGGATTCCTGGTCAGGGCACATGGCTGGATTTGGGGCTCAGTCCCCAATGGGGGGCATATAGGAGGCAGTTAGCTGATCAATGATTCTCTCTCATCATAGATATGTCTCTCTCTCCCTTCCTCTCTGAAATCAATATTTAAAAACACACACACACAAAACAATAAAAAACAAAACAAAAAAACACAAAGGTGGTAAAATGAAAAAAAAAAAATCAGTAGGGCTTTGCATTTTTCAACCTGGTCATTTTACACATTTATATCAGCTGCCTGGCTCCTGGAAGCACTGGAGGGTGTGGGGCCTTTACTAGAGGGAGAGAACACACACACGGCGCACTAGGCACGCCGGACTTCTCATTTCAGCACCCATGCCAGACTCCAGCACCCATGTCAGACTCCAGAACCCATGTCAGACTCCAGCACCCATGTCAGACTCCAGCACCCATGGCAGACTCCAGCACCCACGTCCGACTCCAGCACCCATGCCAGACTCCAGCACCCATGTCAGACTCCAGCACCCATGTCAGACTCCAGCACCCATGTCAGACTCCAGCACCCATGCCAGACTCCAGCACCCATGTCAGACTCCAGCACCCATGTCAGACTTCAGTAATGGATCATGTCGCCCTTCCCCAGGGATTCTTCTCAACACAGTGCCCCTCCCTGCCACCGTTCCCAAGCAGTCAGCTCAGACAGACAAAATGATGCTCTTCGCCATTCTTCACGCTGAGCTCATTCTCTCCTTTTACTGAGCTCAAAACCAAGGTCCAGAAAACTCGAGCAATCACGGAGTCTGTGATGACGCCACAGCGAAACCTCGGATCACTTGACTGGAAGTATCTCCACAGGCCCAAGCCGCCCGTTGGGAAGAGAGGAAATGAAGACATGGCGCAGGGTGGGCTTGTCTTTGGCAAGAGCAGACAGCGTGCCAGCTGGGCTGCGCCTGCTACTTCCTTTTCCCAACACGTCGCCTAACTTCTCCTCCCCACACCCTGGCCTGGCCTTCACTCTCTTTCCTGTTTCGAACCAACAGTGAGAGATCACTGACTCAGCTCCCCATTCCAACCTCTGATCCCCAAACCACCCCAACGAACCAGGGGGAATACTTACGGCACCCGGAGCTTAGGGAACTTCTGAATGTCATTTTCTGTCAGGTTCTGAAATGAAGACACAGGCAGGTTACAACCCACAGGCAGGGCCCGGGGCCAGGCGAGTAGAGTCAGGTGTGAGACAGTAGGGAGTGGTGGGGATTGCGCACACTGAAGAGTACACCCCCCACCCACTCAGAGTGGGCAGCTCTAGAGGTTGCATAAAAGCCTGTGGGCCTGGTGTTGCTGGATCTACCTTTTTCAAAGGGAACACCATTTCCTGAGTTCTCTTGACAAATAATCTTGACTTAAACAAGCACGATGAACGCTGAGTTGTGGGCCAAACAGAATGTGTTTGGTGGGCTGAATCTGTCATGTTATGACCTCTTCCCGTCTGAGGCCCTTACCCCAGACTTCAGGGCCCCTCAATCTCTGTATGAGCTGAGCAGCTGTGAGAGGCCAACTTGCAGAAGGAATCTGGGCCTCATGCCACCACTGCACCCCAAAGGCCTCTTTCACCAGGCTTACTGATAGAATTCTCTAGATGTGGGGAGGCGACAAAGAGGCTTTCCTGAGGGAACTGAGATGGCAAAGAAGGAAGAAATAATATTTGTGATGAACTGGACCTCTGCCTTATAGCACCTTGATTAATCTTCACATCCACTCTGTATTGTAGGAACCCCATTTTATAGATGAGGAACTGAGGCTTAGGGAGTTAAGGGAATTTCAGCTTGTAGGTGACGAAGCATTTGTAGTCAAAGTTCTTCCTATCGGCTTCCCTCCTCCCATGTCCGAGCCCTTTGAGGGCCCGGGGAGCCTATGTTGGAGGGGAGGAGGGCGAGAGAAGGTGGCTGGAAGGGCGGAGGAGGGGCAGGGGTGCAATATTGGGAAGAGGAAAGAAGAGGGTGAGCACACTTTCTGTAGAACCAATGCTGAGCCCAAGGGGCCCCACTGGCGTTCCAACTGAGGCCAGAGCCTGGGCGGGAGCTCTGGAGTCAGGCGGGCCCCTCATCAGACCCTGCAGCAGGGTCGGGACAGGCATCTGCCAAGATTCTTGAGAAAAATCAGGCTTTCCATTCAACTTCTTAACTTCTCTTCTTCGTCTTCATCTTCGTCTTCATCTTCTTCAATATCACTGAGCAGTGGCGTCTCCTCTGCCAAACCCCACCCCTCCCAGGGATGCACCAGGACTCGTGTCCAGAGTGCGGTATGATGAGGGAGGGCCTCCTGGGGGCTGAGTACCAGGCGGCTGGCCAGCACCTTCGGGTTGGCTAAGCCGGGGTCATATCCTGAGGGGACTCCGGGAAGAGAGTGAAGGAGGAGGTGGAGGTGAGCGTGGCTGGAGACAGAGCAGCAGATGTTAGGGAAGAGCGAGCCTTTCAGAACAGGGCCAGGAACTGGGAGGAAAGATGAGAGGTGTTTACTGAGCAGTTTTGCTACGTGATGCGATCCCTTCCCCCACTTCCTTCAAACACCTTCGGCAAACTCCCGGCTACTTGTACGATGACTCAGCGGTAGACTTGCGGCTTTGCGGGAATATGACTCTATGCTGAGTGTATCCTCCAGAGGGGCACAGGGGCGAGGAAAGCTGCAGATTGGCCCCACGTGGAGGGACGACGTGGCCCGAGCGACACTGATGCTTATCTGCCCCGTGTCCATTCTCTCTTCCTCACTGACAGGACCTGCGCTTCGCTCAGGGCAACAAACGTGTCCTGTCCAAAATACGCAATACCCTAGACTCTCTTGCAGATGGCTGAGGTCACAGGACCCAGTATGGCCGGAGAGATAATTGAGGCCTACTGAGAAGGGAAAGAAGGAAGAAATAATATTTGTGATGAACTGGACCTACTGGGTGGAGCTTCTAGAAGTTACTGCTTTCCTGAAAACAAGGAGGATGCATTCCCCATGCACTTTTGCATCTTTTACTCTTTGCCCACCTCCGCCCCCCCCCCCGCCCCCCATCCCCCTTCTTCCTGCCTGGAATGCAGACGTGATGCCTGGAGACAGAGCAGCCATCTTGCAGCCATTAGGACAGAAGCCGTAGGCTTTTCCCATAAGCTGGATGGGGCCTGGGTTCTCAATGACTTCCTTCGGCAGCTCACCAGCCACGAGTGCCCACCTCTGAACTTCTCACCACTTGAGAAAGATAAACCCTGATGTGTCTGAGGGGACTCTCTTCACAGCATTGGTTCTACAGAAAGTGTGAGCCACTGTGATCGTGTTCCTGTTACGTGCAGCCACACACCTCCCTAAGCGCACATCTTCCTCTTCTTCAACCTTCTGGAAGGAGGAGGTGGAGGTGAGCGTGGCTGGAGACAGAGCAGCAGATGTTAGGGAAGAGGCTGCCCTTCAGAACGGGCCAGGAACTGGGAGGAAAGACACGGTCTCACCCTTCTCACAAGAAAACAAGATGGTAGCAAAACAGAGAAATGTGGTAGCTCCTATGCTGCAGAAGAATAAAGGAAGGAAGGAAGGATAGAGAGAAGGAAGGAAGGAGAGAAGGAAGGAAGGAAGGAAGGAAGGAAGGAAGGAAGGAAGGAAGGAAGGAAGGAAGGAAGGAGAGGAGGAAGGAAGGAAGGAAGGAAGGAAGGAAGGAAGGAAGGAAGGAAGGAGGAAGGAAGGAAGGAAGGAAGGAGGAAGGAAGGAGGAGGAAGGAAGGGAGGGAGGGAGGGAGGGAGGGAGGGAGGGAAGGACACACCACACAGGCCTTTCACTCTGCCTTCAATGGAGAATGGTCCTGGACACTATAAAGCTGGAAGGAGTGACAGACAAGAGATAGAGCTCAGATCAGAGCCCAAGTTGTATCCAGAGCTCCTGGGGTGGAGGGTGGATTTCAACAGAGGCTGCCTTTCAGCACTCCGGCTGCCGGGGCAGGCACCAGGTTCTGCTTCCTGCTCTCCTGGCTCTGAGCACCCTCCTTCCCCTTCCCCATTTATAGAACGAGCAGAATATGCAGTGGGTCTGCAGGTCCCAGATATTGGAGCAGAGGTGACAAAGTGACTCAGATACCATTTCTCAACCCAGGAAACAACCAGGTCCTAACAGGCCTGAAACTCCCCTGGGGGGTGTTGGGAGACCCACAGGCTGGAAGGGACCACCACCCAGTCCAACATGCTGGTTAACAGAGGAGGGAGCTGGGGACGTTCAGCGGGCAAGTGTTTATTCAAGGTGAGCTAGGGCATCAGGACCATCCTCAGGGATGTCTCACCTCTTTCCCACTCAGCCCCAGTAGGTCTCTGTTCTCAGTGCTAAAGGCGCCAGATGGGAACATTTGGGTTTAGCAGTAATTTGCAAGAACAACAATAACAACAAAACTCCAGGAGTTCTACTGGGGAAAAGCTCAGCATGGAGAAATAGCATTGTTAAAAACTCATGCAGTATTCGGCTGCATTAAATGTGTACTTGAGTCCAATTGCTAAAGTGGGTGCGTTTGCACAAATCCCATCACACCCCTGTGCATTATTCCTCAATTGCAAACAAGGTGGTAGGAGCCTGCCTAAAGATCCCTTTCTGCGCTAAAACTAGCCTCTGGAAGACAGAAGTCACCATCCCTTGTTCCCAGCACGTGGAATGGCTGGTGTGTAAAAAGAGCTCAGGGAAATGCTTGTCCGATGAACAGATGGGTCAATGAATGAAATGATGTGCGTGGGTCAGTGAATAAACATGTCACACGAAAGCAAAACTCAGACCTATAGGGACAGAGGTCTGGTCTCAGCCTGAGACTTCAGCGCTGCCCAGAAGCGGGCCAATGACTATAGGTAGTAGTGAGCTCACCATCACTGAAAGGATTCAAGAAGATTGGGGAAGCATTTATGTAGTCAGGGTCTCTCTTACCCATTGGCAAAGGTGTCATTTCAGGGGAAATGCTCAGACCACATCCCCAACCAGCACCCAATGCCTCTGTCCCCACCATTAGATCTGCATCCCTTCTAGTCAAAGGCTTAGTCCTTAATATGCAGATGCATCTTAGTCTCCACTTGAAGTGGTATGCAACATAATGGAGTGGAGAGAGCCATAGCCCATGTGTTTAATGGGCACAAAACCGTGAACTTAGTAGCAAGAAATAGAGATGTAATTGAAATAATGAGGTGCTCCCACTCTTTATTCCACTCCATGAGCATGTACCCCAGAATGAGAGATTGGAAAAAAGAATCCTTCTGTTCTCCATCCCAGATGGTCTTTTCTCCCTTGGACTTGGATTTCTCAAAGTGTGGGTGGTATTTGAATAGATTTTCAAGGTGTGTGTGCGCGCGCGCGCGCGCGCGTGTGTGTGTGTGTGTGTGTGTGTGTGTGGTTTTAACTATATTGGGTTTCTTCTTTATCCTTTGACTTTGGAATGTACCTTAGTATCAGTGAAAGATGTGGGAGGTACCCTAAATAGGAGGATCCTCAGAGGTGATGAGAGAGGGGTTCAGACAAAACCTCTGAAGAAGGCAAAAGGTTGTATGGGGATCCTGCAGACAGGCATTGATCCTTGGCATCCTCAAGGACAGGTAGACCAGTTGACCCTGCAGCCATTGGTTAAAGTACAGAACAGCTCTGGCCTCCATGTGTCGGACCAGCAGCACTTACCAAAAACCGTGGCCCATCGATGTGATGCTTCTTCACGGCCTTTTCACAGTCCTTGTAGTTCAGCTGCGAAGGGGAAAGGAAGGTGCTGTCAGTGGGGCAGGCTCATGCCATTGGTTCCCCTCCCCTGCCTGGCCCAGAAGCTCAGCAATTTGTGGTACTTGTGGCTAGCCAGACTCCCCGCTCCCTCCCCTGTCTAACAGAGGGCCCGTCCCCACCTCGGCCCTGCTTTCACTAATCCCGTGGGACTCTGTGAAATGGAGAACTTGCCTTGGTCGAAAGCTTTGGGGCCAACCCCTAAGAAAGAGAGGCCTTCAAGGCTACTCTGCAAGTGGAGAGGATCAGGAAGAGGAAAATAAATAGCACTCGTTGTCTTGCCACCCAAAGACAAGCTCGCTGGACATGGCCGTGTGTTTCCTTCAACGCTTTCACTCTGAGCATACTTCTAAACATAACTGAGGTTATAATTTATATTCAATCTTGTGAGCCTGGCTTTTGCTCACAATTACCCTCAGGCGATATAAGCACTGCCTCATGTTATTGCAAATTTATTTTAAACATTAGTTTCATTGATCTCTTGTTGCTAAACATTTAGATTGTTTACCAAACTGCTGCTCCAATAATGATAAGAGCAACTGCTGGAAATTATCCAACGCTTGCTCTATGGCAGGCATTGTCCTTAGTATTTAAACCAATCCTAGTCATTTCATCCTGGCCTTCTCCAGATGGAGAGCCAAAGGCGCAGAGCGTCATGTAACCTGTAGGAAGCTCCACGGGGAGTAGGTGACAGAGGCGAGAGTCAGGCTTCAGATCAAGCTTTTAATGTCAGGAATGGTCCCGTATTTGTTAATAACATTATAACTTAGCCATAAGTAAAGTGAACAAGTTTAAGTGCAACTTAATACACATCCAGATCATATCAGAGGACATCATGGCCATTCTTTTGCATCCATTTTCATTTTCTTCTACTTAACACACTGCAGGTGGATCACGAGCATTCGCGTGTTTTCGTGTTACACAGTGTTTTACATAAATGTTGAAGGCGCGCCTTAACATTAAATACCCATTGCATTTTGAAGTTACTTATTACATGTTCTTACTAGCTAATATCTTTTTAAAGTATGGTACTTTGTAAAACGCTTTTTGTACTCGTTCAATAGAAACTTATCTGGCCACTGGGTAAAGCTAGCAATAAAACTACTGGTGCGCAATGTGTTAAGAGAAACTGTTTAAGTTAGATTCTCAGAACAGAGTTATAGGATTAACAGGGATGATCATTTTGAGGGTCTCGGTTGCTTTCCTAAAGAGTCACATCAATCAACAATCCTATCAGGTATCTGTGTTGCCTTGTCTTCAACAGCATATGAATTTGCATTGGAAATATCTCTAATCTGCTGTGTAGGGATGGAGTATTTAAGGTTAAATGTTTGTCCTTGAGAATCTTAGGATCTCCTCACAAGTGTGTCACAGTTTGTGGCAAGCTTCTTTGGGTACAGATTTAAAATCGTGACCTTTTCTTATGGCCGACAAGACTAAGAAGTAAGCACACTTGTTGTAACCTCTTGGCTTGGAAGGGTAGGATGAATGTTAGAAAGCTGATTTAGAGATCAGTGTGGAAAGCAAGCAGCATCCGAGGAGCCCTGAGCATCCCTCTTATCTACATGCTCTGAGCTGTAAGTGGTTCTTAGAAGAGTCAGCTGCCTTTAATTCATCATTTCCACTGTCATCGTTGTCAGATGAACCTCTGATTTTGCAAAATACTGACCTCAACTCTAGATAGACAGACATCCTTGCAGACTGGGGCCTGCCTGGGAGTTTGATTCTGATCTAACAATATCTGGGCTTGGGGGCTAGAATCTATATTTTTAGTAAATACTTATATGGCTTTTATGAGCACCCAGTGTTAGTTGGCACTGGTCTAGAGTAGATACCTGGTGCTGAAGATGGGACAACCGAGGCCCAGAGAGGCCTAAGTCTGGGGCCTAACATCACACAGTGAGCTGGGAACACAGCTGGGACTGGAACTCATGGCTCTGAGCCAGTGTCTTCTCTACTGCATGGCCCAAGTCAAAAGGAATTGGAGGGGTTAAAGAAGTACAGACCACGGCCTAGGTCCTCCTTGGGGACTTGCATTCCAGACAGAGGATGAGCTACTTGTGTAGCTGAGAGAATAAGACACAAGAACGTGCCAGTCTGCCTGGACCTGGGCTCTCAGCTAGGGGCCAGCAACTAGAGCAGGAAAAATGGAAGCTCAATCATCAATAGCCCCCTCTCTGCTGCATGCCTCACATACGTTACTTCCTTTAGTTCTCCCAACACGCCCACGAGGTTAGTTACTGTTAGTATCTCTATTATACTGATGAGGAAACCGAGGCACAGAGAGGTCAAGTAACGAAGGCAAGGTCACCCAGCTAGCAAGTGGCACAGTCAGGATTCAAACCGAGGTACGTCTGCCTCCAGAGCTGGCAAGGGGACCTGATATCACTGCTTCATTAGAAGTTGGGCTGGCCAATCAGCGTTTTAAAGAGATTTGATGGTTAAGATCCATCCCCATTTGGTATTTTCTCTCGGGGGGACTGAAGTGCTGAGGACCTAAAGGGTGTTTATCTGTGTCTCTGGGGGGACTTCCAGGTCACAGAGGCCCCGCAGTCTCCTCATTCCCCACTTCGGTCATTTTATGCTGGTGCTGTGGGCTTGACCCGGGGTGTGGGATTTCCAAGAAGAAAGCTCTCCCTCTCCCCAGCTCAGGCAGAGAACTCTCCTGAATCAGCCCTGGCCTGGGGCCCATCTCCCTGGGCCAGGGGAACTTGACCATGGATTCTTCTGTGGCTGGGCTGGGTTGTGCATTCTTCTCACCACATTGGAGATGGAGTCTATCTGTGCCTCCCGGCCTGCCCCCTGGTTTCCCTCCCTAATTCGCAATCCTTCTCTCCTTTCTTTACTGAGCTAGCATGCCGCTTGATAGAAATCTTGGCAAATTTCACCGGGTGCCCTGTTTCATTTGGTCTACGTTTAAGAAAAAAACACTTAGAAATAGCCTTCAGAAGTCAGTTTTCCCAAACATCTTTGCAACCACAATGCTGAAACCTAAGTTGAGATGACCTTTTAGAGGGAAAAAGAACAGGAAGGAGATGCACAAAAGCAGCAACAGCAGGGTTCGCGGGCCGTGTCCCCATCATGCCACACCTGGTCCAACATTTTCAGGCTTTTCTTCCTGAGTCTGGGGAAGGGCAGTGTGGCAGTAAACACCTCGGGGCCACGCAGACCCCAGGGTTGGCTGTGTGACCTCGGGAGCTTGAGCTGCCCCAGGAAAAACAGAGCGTGGGCTTAGATGATCTCTAAGACCTCGGCTTTAAAATCTCATCTGTATGACGGTCTGGAGTGTCAACTGAATCTGAGGCCAGCCTCCTCAGGGGCAGGTGCAAAAAGGTCAAATGTCCCTCACAAGACACCATATCCCTTGGACAGGAAGAGAATATCCCTGAGTCACGTGGCTTGGGATCTGCCCAAGCCGCTATGCGACCTGTGGTCCCACCAGCAGATGACGAAGCATGGGGATCTTGAGCATCTCCAATGCTCAAAAGCAGGACAACAGCCTTCTGGGCTCAGCTCTGCCATAGCTCACTTCTGACCCTTCTGGCTGAGCCTCTTCCTGTGCAGGAGCCTCAGTTTCCCCAGCTGCAACCTGGGCTCATACCAGTTTTCTGACCTGCCTGGCAAGACCCTCATAAAGCTCCAAGGAGACGCTGCCTCACGTAAGGACGCGAGGAGGCCTCCTTCAGGGTGATGAACAAGGACTGCTGCCTAGGCACGGCTCATCGCGGCCTTCCCCTCCCCCGCCCAGGACACCACTTCACTTCTCCCTTTCTAATAAGGAGCCTTGATCTCACTAGGGGTTAGAGCAGTTCTGCATCTCAGAGCTTGGACTTTGAAACCAGATGGGTGACAGACCGGAATCCTGCCTCTGTCACATGTAGTCTCTGGGGCTTTGGGCCACTTAACCTCCCTGCGCTGATTTTGCAGCTGAGCCAGGGGACAGACCCTGTTAAATAGTCCTGGAGAGTGTGAGATGGGACAGTGCCTGGAGAGCACAAGCTCAAGCCCTGGCACACAGTAGGTACACATTCATTGGAGGACTTCCCTTCTCCCCAGATCTTACTGTGGGAACACTCGGTGCTGTAGGCATATCTAACGGTACTTGCCCAACTGGTGAGGTGGCTGCGAGGCTGGAAGTTCGCTGCTATCTTTCATGCCTTTTGCGTTCTGCCTGGACTCCACCTTCAAGCCTCTGTCCAGCTGCCCCCCGCCCTCCCCGAGGGCACTGCCAGCCCCCCACCACCAAAGAGCAAGGCTCACCTTCCTGAAATAGTCGGCGAGGCTGTCGGGGTCCCAGGCCAGGACCTCAGAGCGGAAGGGCACATTTCTCAAGGCCATGGCTGCTCTCCGGGGAGGACGCTCACAAGCTGAGCATGGGTGCGGCACCCATGGACAGAGAACCCCAATCCAGAGCGTGGGGGTGTCCTTGGCTCTTCCCACACCCGGTTACCCTCTGGAGCAGCCTTGTTGGAGCCAACGTCTTTTCTGCCGTAGCCAGATCCCAGAAAGCAACGCTTCCTCCGCGAACAAATATGGTCTCTTCTCAGAAAACGACTCAGCAAGTTTCCTTTACCACTTCCTCTGCTGGGCCCTAAATAAGTAAACAAGGAAGCCAGCTCCCCGCTGGAGAGGCCAAGCGAGCCACGGGTGGTAATTCCCCAAGGCCAGCCACCCAGCCCAGTGGGAGTGGCATGAAGGGGACTTGGACCCCAGCATGAGTTCAAGTATGTTTCTCTTAAAACTCCTGGCACCCATAAGTCTACACCACATTCCTGCTTGCCTGGGTCTTTGCAGTTGAAAGTCTATTTTGACAGTTGACCTAAAATATAGACAATCTCCCACATCAGTGAACTGCTGGGGGAAGCAGCAGGGCTTTTTCATGTTTTCCAACCACCCCTCGGTCTCTCTAGCAGGGGTGGGGAACGTCCGGCCCACGGGCCGTATAAGGCCGAAGAAATCATTTGGTCTGACCCCACCAAGGCATTACGGTGAGTTAATTAAATGTTTGACCAACTATAGCAGGCTAGTTTTTAGGTTGATAATTTGGTATGGCCCATGAATGATGGTATCAATATTCAAATGGCCCTTGGCAGAAAAAAAGGTTGCCCACTCCTGCAAGGATAAAGTCGAGATTTCTTCAGCTGCCCCCTTAGAGTTACTGCCAGAGGGATCTCTGTGAGTGAGTGGGTGAGCCAGGGCCCAGCGCTGAGAGAGGGGCTGCACGGGGCAGACTACGCTTGATTTCTCATATGATGGTTTCCATGTCGTGCAACGTGGGTAGGACTTAACACGTTGAGGACCAGTAGCTTTATTGCCAGCTTTACCCAGTGGCCAGATAAGTTTCTGTTGAACGAGTACAAAAAACGTTTTACATCAATGTTAAAGGCACACTTTAAAATTAAATACCTGTTGCATTTTGAAGTTATTTATTATATGTTCTTACAAGCTAATATCTTTTTAAAGTATGATACTTTGTGAAACACTGTGTAACATGAAGTGTGAATTCTCATGATCCATCTGCAATGTGTTGAGATCTAGGAATCTCAGTTCCCATGTCTGTAAAACAGGAAAACAGAGGCATTGCTTCACGAGCACATGAAACTTAGATGCATTTAACTAGACTCACTTAAAGGGAAAAAATTAAAAGAAAAAAATGATACTGATGCTGCCATATATTCTATTCACTATTTCTTCATATATATATATATTTTATTGCTTAAAGTATTACAAAGGGTATTACATATGTGTCCTTCCCCCCCCCCCCCCGCCCTTGACAGTCCCCTAGCCTCCCCTACCCCCCAGTGTCTTATGTCCCTTGGTTATGCTTATATGCATGCATACAAGTCCTTTGGTTGATCTCTTACCCCCCTCCCTCCTGCCCCCCGACCCTCCCCGGCCTTCCCGCTGCAGTTGGACCATCTGTCTGAGGCAGCTCTGCCTCTGTATCTATTATTGTTCATAAGTTTATACTGGCCTCTATTGTCCATGAATGAGTGAGCTCATGTGGTGTTTTTCCTTCATTGGCCGGCGTATTTCACTCAGCATACTGCTCTCCAGTTCTTCTCCGTATATTCCATCCAGAGGACACATTCCCTGGAGCGGCCCGAGGCAGGGAGGGGAATCTGCTGCTTCTGTGGATGCTGTCAGACTCTGTGCATCTCCCACAGTCTGAGCGCTACGCTGTTAAATGTGTTTATGCCACATCGTAGTCTCTAAACACAAGTTTATGGCTTCATCTCCTCTCTGTGCGCACACACACACACACACACACGGCCATCCGCTCCGATGCTGAGGAGGCAACCAGCGCTGTTGCACTTCCCAAGCGATGCTACATTGTCCCTGAGGAGGTGCCTTCCCCCAGCGTTTCCAGGGTAGCTGGGGCCATGCACCGTTCCCATCTCAAGCAGAATCTAAGGCCCCACTGTCACTGTGATGCACCAGCCTCCCAGGTCACGGTGAGCTTCGGTGACATCTGCATTTCCTCCCAGGCCCGGCACCTTAATGGATGTGGCCCACGCACCTGAGCTGGCATCATCCTCGCCTCACAGGGAGCTGGGGCATCTATCAAGGCAGCCCAGGCCAAGCGCTCCTCACGGGGCCCGGACCTGAGAGCGCTCAGTCACTGGCCGTGCTCTGCAAAAGCCACACTGGGAGAGGTTGCCTCACTTTTCAAATCACCGGAAGAGCAGCCATTTGAAAAGAGGGGGAAAGAGAGAGAGAGATCATTTCCAAGTAGAGTGATCAAAGAAGATGCTGTGGAATGAGCTGCGACTTACACAGGGCCTTGGAAGGTGGAATAGAGGGAGGGCATTTTGTGTGTGTGTGTGTGTGTGTGTGTGTGTGTGTGTGTACTTCATGAGCAAATGAAACATTCCAGACCTGGGGAAAGGAACATTCAAGATCATCCTTAAAAGTAGAAGCAATATTTTTAACTAGAAGCCCGGCGCATGAAATTCGTATGTGGGTACGGTCCCTAGGCCTGGCCTGCAATCGGGACCATGTTCCCAGGCTGCCCACAGCCAGCCCCGCATGCCCGCCCCCCCTCCACCGTTGCCCACCCCCAGTACCTCGTTCGCCATCGGGTGATCAGAACCTGATGGCTGGGGGAAGGTTACCAAGAGGTGGTCAGTGTGCCTCATAGTGACTGGTTGAGCGGTCCTTCTGGTTGTTCTGCCTTTAAGGTCAATTTGCATATTACCCTTTTATTATATACAATGATGTTCACCCCCCCAGTCAGGAGAATAAAAATCTGCAAACGTTAGAAAGAAGATACAGCTAAATATTAGGCTTTGGGGGAAGAATTATCCAATAAATGTGGCCAAGATGAACACTCCATGGAGCCCCTGCAGAGGAGGGACACAGCAGTCAGGAAAGCTGGTGACAGTGCTGATGGCACTGAGAATCACCAGGAGTCCCTCCTAGGTGCTGGGAGGGCTGAGGACTTTGCACTAATTCTCTTATCGAATTGTTGGCACAATTATGCCTCCTTTGCAGAAGGGAAAACCAAGGCTCCGAGAGGTAAAGCTACTTGCCACCGACCCCTCTGAGTCCACCTTCCTTTACCTCGGTGCCACGTAGGCTCCGAAATGCTACGTAAACTGTCCAAGCTGGAGGAGGGATCCAAACTCAGCTCTGTCTCAGGAGCCTGCATGGTTTCCACTCTACCGGTCTGCCTCCCTGGAGAGCAATGTAGGTTGTCAATAGTGACAAGCTGAGAGGAGACAGCCCTTTCCACAAGGCAGGCCTCTGGTACCCTCCCTGTACAGCCCCATGCCCACCTCTCAGAAGGGGCAGCTGGGCAGGCGGGAGCAGGTGACACCAGGGGAAGCTGCTTGCTTCCGGTATGGAGCCTCCCCTCTTCCCTCTCCTCGGGGATTTCCCAATGCTTACAAGTTTCACATCTCCTGTCTCTGGCCAGATGGTTCCAGAAGGCCCAGGGGCAGGGCCGGTTAGTCCTGGGTGGGGGGCAAGGGTCAGGAGGACCAGCGTGACCCTGTGCAGGCTAGCTCATTGGTCGAGCCTCAGGCTTCACAGCTGTAAAATGGGCAGGGACAATCACAGCCACTGGGTACAGCTCACAGCAGATGGGATGCTGCAGCTGGAAGGCCGGGCCAACTCATATCCATCCTCTAAAGAGGTCTTGGCCTCAAACATGAAGCAGAGCAGAGCAGGGAGCAGCTGTGGCCTGGGGTGGGCTGGGGGACCCTCCCCTTTCCCTCTCTCTCCCAGCCAGCTAAAGAAGCCCCAAGCTCATAAAGAAGCAAACTGATAGGTTAGCAGAGGCCTTCCTAGGCTTTGGAACCTGCATCTCAGGGTTCGGACAGGGTCAAATAGACCCTGAGCACAGTAACAGCAGCAGCATGCGAGCTCACAGGGATGGGGTGCATGGGACAGGCATCTTAAAAGTGCATCAGGGCCTGTGGACAAACATGCAATACTTGCAGGGAGTGGTAAGTTGGAGATCTCAACATTAGGGACAAAAAGAGATGTAGGTGCAGCACACTGCAATCAGAGGGGGTTCACCCCAGTATCCTCCCTGCCCCACCCCACCCCATCCAGACTTGAGGGTCCCTCTGGTTCCCGCTAACCCACAGCAGAATCTGTGTGTGTGTGGGGGGGAGGGTGGATAACTGCCTTCTCCAGCTAATTTTAAGGCGAGAGAAAGAACAGGTCATTAACAGAGACCTGGGAGTCTCGGCCTGTGTGTGGGGCAGGGAAGGAAGCATCACTCAGGGACCCAGAGAGAATGGAAAGCAGGGACCTTGGAGGGGACCATGCGTTGACCTTCTGAGGAGAGGTGCCTACGGAGTGAGGAGGTAGCTGGGAGGATGTGCTACTTTGCATTCAGTCTGAAAGAGGGTGTTGGCTGGAGGACAGAGGAAAAGGCGGCAGCACGGGGCCCATGCAGGGGCCGACTTGGGGGACTGCAGAGAGCGTGTCCCCATGGGCTCACCCCAGCCTCTCCTGCTGCTGTTGGAACTTTCTCTGGGTCTGTGCGGGTTTGCCTGCAGAGGGGACGAGGACGGTCACCTTCACAGAGAGGGACTGTTTTCCCCTCCGTTCTCTGAGGCTGGTAATGGAAGCACCATCTACCTGGTGGAATCCTCTGGATGGCAAAGCTGCACCCACGGGGAAGAAGGGGCAGGGCAGCTCCACACACCAGCAGCCACACGCGAAGGCACAGAATTGGGTGCTGGCCTCAGAGCCGTGTGCCCCGAGGGATGGGCCTGGCATGCGGCATCCCTGTCCTCACCGGCGCTCCTGGAGGCTGTGGGGTGGTAGGTCGGGGAGGGCCTCGTGCCAGCCACACTGCCCTGTCTCCTGTCAGCCACCAAGACCCTCCTCCCTCCCAGACTGGACAGTCCTCCCCTCCCCTCCCCAGTCCTGGGATAAGCATGACAGAGGATGAACCGGTTGCCGCAGGCCAGACTTCGAGGAGCAATATTTTCCACTTCCTCAGAGGTAACAATTTCAATCTTTTCAAAAAACATATGTTTTTCATCCTCTCTCTCTCTCTTCTGTTTGAGCTGAGGCACCTCCGAAGTTCAGGGTGGGTGGGAGGAAGTGCTTATTTGGACTTC